TCCTGCGGCAAAGCAAAGGAAGAGTCAAGCATACAAAAAGCCCCCCACCCTTAAAGAGTAGAAGAAAAAACTGGAAATAAAAATTAAACTCTTAATATGCACTAAATGTTGAAAGAGGAATTAGAACAGTATCTGTCCTGGGCCGAGGCAATGAAAGAACTTACTGAGAGAAGCCATAGAGGCCAGGATCTAGGCCAAAAGCCTGATCACATGTTCCTTGCCTGGAGTGAACAGTGGGAAGAGTTATCCCATGATACTTGACTCTCTGAAGCTGATGTGAGTTGTATGATAGACAGCACACGAGGAAACAGTAAGATGTGCATCACTTGTCTGACTAATCCAGACTAAGATAGGTGTACCTTTCAAAAGCCAGGTGGCTACAATAACCATCTAAGCCTGGATGAAGGACTGGCTGCAAGAAGATGCAAGGCACAGCTGCTTACTGTCTGAGATCTGGAGAATTGTGTGTGCAGCTTTACATTTGCCAGGGGTGCAACAGATTTATTGACAGAGATCCAAAATGACTTACAAAGTCTATGAAGATGGATTGGCCAAAACCTCAACTCCTAGTGATTCAGCAACTAACAGCTGAGAAAGTCAGCCTTGACATCTAGGGCACTTTTACGTGCCAAGATGATATATATACGCAATATTGATTTATACCCACATTAGCAATGCGATTGCCTCTTTGTGGAGAATGCAGGATTTGGTACTACTTTGCTATTGTGGTTTGCTTTGGTCAACACGCTGACTAACCTAAGAAACTGCTGAAACAAGGCAGCTATTAACACAGGAAATGACTAGGGAAATACTGAGGGCTTATAAACCCTGTTTTATGGAGAAATCTCCACAAGATAACTCCTTTGTTACATTAAATCAGTGCTACCAACGCTCTGGAGAGATGTGGGATGAAGGAGTAAGTCAGCAATCACAGCATCGCTTTGAATAAATTCAAAGGGTTTGTCTAGGACCTCAGGTGAGTCCTCCCTGCAAGAGGACTTGCCTCAGGTTGTTCCATGTCTTGAGCGAAGCATGCCGAAGAATTAAAATGTTTTTCTTCCAAAAAGGTCTTCTGGGCTTGTGCAGGCCATGAGCCTGACCCACTGGGAAGATCTCCCAGATTATGAGACCTAATAGAACAAACAAGTATATTTGGGACTGTAAAGATTTCACTTCTTGTAGCAATTTCTGAAGCAAGTGTTTGACCCCCTGTTCACGTCTATGACTATCCCCCAGGCTGATGATTCTCTGGAGTGGACAAAAACAACTCTTTCTTGTATTCACTATAAACCCGGAGGCAAGAGAGCTTTTTGATGAGACCTAGTTGTGGCTTACCCAGAGAGCGCAACCTGAGATCATCTTGATACAGGAAGAGGTGGATGCACTGAAGGCAGAGGTGTGGTACAACTTTGACTTTGGAATATTCCTTGGGTACTGAAGCCAGGTCAAAGCGAAGGACCTGTGCTTTCTGTAAGCTTGTTTGGAATAGGGCAATTCAGGCAGTTCTCCATGAAGTTTACAGCAGCTAAGACTTTCTCCCAATGCAGGGCCCCTATTCAAAATTTCCAGTATGGCACGCCTTGTTGACATACTTGAAACCAAGGATGGCCTGTTAGGCTCCTCCCCTCTTTGGGACAATGAAGAAGCTAGAACAGACTGCTGAGAATTGTCCTTTGAAGTGAGCTCCCTACTTTGAGAAAATCTTGAGTGGCTTGAGCCATGATGACTTGCATTGGTCAAGAGCTAGAGATTAGCAGGAAGCTGTCCCTTACTTTATTGCTGAACACTATCCAGTAGTTTTCCTGATTGTGAGGATACCCAGGTGTAGAATAAGTGCTCCTTCCAACTGAAAGTGTGGCACCCTTAGTTGTTGCTGGGTAACCCAAAAGAGTTGGGTAGAAAGAAACAGGTTGTGTAGAAAACAAAGTTCTTGTTCCTGGATGTGAAATAGAATCTGGATCAAGAAATACAGTGGTACTTCGGCTCACGATCGTCTTGCTTCATGAACAAATCGGATCACAAACAAAAATTTCTGAAAAATTTTGACTTGGGTCACGAACACTGCTTTGGGTGGTGACCAAGATCGCAGCCATCTCCCCCTCCCCCCGGGAGTGGGAAGATGGCCACGATCCCAGTTGCTTTCACGCAGGTAAGGCATGTGTAATCAGAGGTGTGCTGCTCCAGGAAAGACAGAAGTAGCAAAGCAGAGCTGCAGGGGAGATGGCCGAGATTCCGCCTGTCTCTCCCGCAGGAGCGCGCTTCTGATCAGGCACGCCTTCCCTGCAGGAACGGAACTGCGATTGCGGCCATCTCCCCATCCCCAGTGCACCGTTTGCGCCCATCTCTCTCTCTCCTCCAGTGCGCCTGCAATCACCCCCATCTCTCCCCCCCACCCCCCAGCAAGCACACCGGGATGTCAGGCATGATCTCAGTCATGTTGGGGGGGGGGGAGATTGCCATGCATGTGTCGGGGGGGGGGGAGATGACCGCAATCTTTGTTGTCACTTTGTTTCACATGTTTCTGATTTAAAAAATGGTTACAGAACGGATTAACCTTATTTACAAATAACATTATGGGGAAATTTAACTTGGCTCACAACCAATTTGGGTCACGACCAGAGTCCTGGAATGGATTAAGTTCGTGAGCCAAGGTACCACTGTACCTGCATTCTCAAAGACTCTGGTAGAAAAAGGACCCCTATGTGGCTGAAAGGAAGGGAAATAATGCTTTGGTGGCTTCTTGTCATTCTTTGGTTTCAATGAATTTATCCTTGAGTGTTTCCTCCCAAACAGCTGAGTGTCCTAGAAGTGAAATGCTGCTAAATTGGCTCTGCAGCAGACATCTGCATCCCAGTTTTTTGGTCAGATGGAATGACTGGCCATGGTGAGCACTGTTATGGCACATGCTGGAAAGAAGTCAGAGTATCTAGGCTGGTGTCAGTCCCAAGGAATATGTTGTGGTCATTTAAGGAAATTCCTATTCTGACACAAGGAAGATTTTAAAAAATCAGCAAAAATTATGAGCTGCTGCCTCACGGACGCTTTTGAGTGTTAAGTCAGAGTGCTGCTTCCCTGACACTTTGAGGGGAGCACCTCCACACTTAGGAGCAATAGTACCAAAGACAAGGGCTGAGGTTGGGGCATCAACAAGGAATACCTTTAGATCCTCCGTTACCTGCTGTTAGATAACAACATGAGGGTGGGGGTGCCCTCCTGCCTCGAACCAGGGCTACTTATTCCCCCTTAACAATTCTGCCAGAAATAAAAGAAAGGGGTACTTTGGTTTTAAATGCTTTTGATTTTGGAAAAATGCATTAAGTTCCCTAAGACAACAGCTGTGAAGCTGGCTGAATGGATTCTTGTGAGCTGGGTTGCTTCGTTATGAAAGAGTCTGGCACTAGGTGTTCTCTCAATCTGACTATCAGAGTACACCTCTCCTCTTACTGAAGAAAGCTAGAAAGGATAGGATTTAGATTAGTCTGTGACCTACAGATTCAATGTCACTGTTCTGTTCCTAGGAGGAGACCTGTGACATATGCCGCAAGATCAGGGCTGTAAGGCAGAATTGATGGGTCAGTTCTGCTTTCCTCTGCCTCAACATTTTTAATGCCTCTTCTTGGAAATTTGGACAATGGCCACTTCTCTACTGGGGTCACGGCAGAGCAAACAGAAGAGAATCAAAAAGAAGGGGCCAAGACAGGATGAAAGGCAAATCAGAGGGGTCTTCTAAACAGAAGAGAGTTAAGAGAACGTCTATTGAAATGGACAGTATAATCGCGCATGAGATTGCTCCCAACACAGAAAGATGGTAGAAGAGCGTGCTAGCAGTTCACCTTGGGGGATAGAGAGATGAAGAAATCCTGCCTTTTCACCATCCTTTCTCCTCATCTACCCATCCTTCCTTCAAATGGCAGTCTTACCAAGATAAGCTGCCCAACACAGCTGTATGTGTACCTTTGGCAGCATATTTACTCTGCGCTTGTGACACAGAAGTCTAGAATTGCAAGGTGACTGGGAAGATGAGATTATCAGGAAAACCGTTCTTCCCATTCAGCTGCGATTCCTTGATAGTGGAGCAAGTTGCAGAACTGAAGCCTGGTTTTGAAACTAACACTCCATTAAGACAGGGACAAAATATGAGGGGGGAACCTGAAAAAACCAGGCATTATCTTCTGGTGGGTAGGGCCCTTGTAGTATAGGCTTCTCCTGCTGAGTGAGTGTTCTAGGAACCCATCTGTGTATCCAGCTGGGTTGTTGTGAAAGGCTGCATTCGGCTTTAGTGAAGTTTTTTAAAGAGACTCTTTCAATGCATTTGCCTATTTCGTGATGGCTGATTTACAAAAACAACATGCTGCAGTGAAATATTGTTCAGCAGTTTCTGACCAAAAATGGTACTACCTTGTACCCCACCCTCCCTATTAACCTGATCTTGCCCCATGTGACTTTCTTTCCCCGGAAGAAAAAAGTTCTCAAAGGGAAACGTTTTGCCAATGTGAAAGAGGTGAAACAAAAAATGGCAGAAGTACTAAAACGCATCAAAATCAACGCGTTCAAAACCTGTTTTGAGCAGTGGAAAAATGTTTCGATAGATGTACTGCATCAAACGGAGGGGACTTAGAGGTGACTTAAATTGGAACCCATAAAAAGAAATGCATGATTTTTGATAAATGAATTCCGGGGGGTTTTTTGGGTCTCCCCTCATATAAATGATCGAAGTCTCAGCACCAACCATACACTATCAAATGGGCCCTAATACAAAGAATCAAAATGTGTGATATAGTACTCAAGAGATGCCATGACTAGCCAAGGTCACCTGCTACCTAAGTCTTCATCTCTGACCATGGAAGCTCTAAAAAGTGGTTTGTATATGTGCTAGCTGATAAATTACAGTGGTTTCCCCAGAAAATTATGAAACTGTTGAGTGCCAGCTCAGAGTTTTTCCACAAAGGCTCTCCAATTTAAAAATGGATTTTACTCTCAGGCAAGAAGGGGATACATACTGGTCTTCTGTCCCAAAAAATTTCACAAAGAAGCACTTCTTCCCACGAGGCTTCTTCAGATCCTTTGGAGGGTTAACAATCTGTGAGCAAAAAATAAGCCATCATTAAGAGGTGATGAAGTCTGGATTTTCAGGACATACTCACTGCGCTTCCTCTAAAATCTTCTTGTGTGTTTTAATAATTACCTTTGTGAAACAAGATTAGAGTGAGGCATATGGCACATCTCGCAACTAAAGGCATTTTGTGACAAATTAAAGAAACAAGCATTCTGCAAATGGAAGTATATGTTGCTAGCTGTAGTGCTATCTCTAGTGCCCATTCCCTCAAATGCAAGAAGCAACCAACCACGCACAACCTTATCTTTTGCTTCATGTACACTAAGTTTAAAAAAATACACAAGATCGGAGTGTCTTTGACTTCGTATATAGGTTTGCGAGTTCCACCTCATCACGATGCACCTTAACATCTTCCACTACCCCGATACTGCGCAGGCAAGTGAGGTTTTAACATTTCTATGCATATTACTATTTGTACATTTGTGCCATTTGTAATCTCACAATTATGGCAGTCACTTTGATATTGACTAAGCATAGCTGGCAATTCTGCAAGTATTTTAGCACAGTTATATATTCTCTACCCAATGTAGTATCAAGACAGATTTTTATTTTTATTTTTTTATTTATTAAAACATTTTTATGCCGCCCCATTCGCCGAAGCCTCGGAGCGGCTTACAAAGATTGCAATTATCCTCATGGTAAGCTAATGCTGTAGAAATAGAATGGCTGTATCAGCCTATTAGGAGGTAAATCCAGACATCTGTCATAGCTGCCAGCCATTACTTCGGTTTCTTTAAATTTATAAAAGCAAATACTCTGCCCAACTCTGAAACCATGCTGCAGCAGTGAACAAAGGATGAAAAATCTTACCAAGTGATAAGAGGAAGGAGTTCAATGTATAAGTTCCCACTCAAAACCTACATCCTAGGCTCAATGACATAGTTACTACCATTATTTCATTGCATTCTTTTAAACTCAGAAGTGCTGTGAGAGGCTATGGAGACTGAAGAATCAGTTGGCAGCACCAGTCTAGAAGCATTAAACACAAATAATGATGCAGGAGCATGTGTTGCCAACAGTAGATCTAGAATAATAGCACAAGAAACAAGGCTGGGGAACAAGACTGGCAATACAATTGACAGAATGGTGGCACACGATGCTGGGACCACAGAGAAAGCCCTCTAGTAGCTCTGACTCAACAAGTTAATCACTACAACCTCCTGAATAGCTCCGTGTCCCACAGAATTCAGTTTGGGATGCCAGGCCGACTACACAGTTTGCACTATGATGACATCTCTAGCAAAATTCAATTCCTGCTTATCACAAGACAAAATTATGACACATCTGCTGGATATGACTTAGATTTGACAATTGACATTTGTAGAAGTATTATTAAAAACAAAATAGCTTGTACTTTTTTGGGAGTGCTGCAATCCTATTCATCCATTTGAGAAAATTCATTTCCCTTTTTCCTACACAGTTATTTAAGAATACCCTCCACTGAACCCAATAAGACTCACCCGCATAAATAATCATAGGACCAGACTATGCATCCCATTTTTAAGTTGGTACCAGGGCTAATTTAAGTTGTTCACCTAAGGATACAGTTTATTTTAAAAACCACCTAAATTTACCAAGTTTGCTTTGTGGTTGTGCGTCAACATGCTAAGGAGCAAGGTACATCACAAAATGCCTGATGTGCACTTTGGATTTAGCATTAACAAAAATCTCTTTCCCCAGCTAAGGAAAATGCCACAATTGAAGCACACAGTAGAATCCACTTCAAAAGACTCACCTTTCCTGGCCAAGGAGGGTAACGGCCCAGCTTCCCCCTATGGAAAAACCAGAAGTCAGTCACAGGCTATCAAAAAGCAGCAATTCTTCAACATCCTTCCCTTATCAAGAACTACCAGAAAAGAAAACCAAAAGCTATTTAGCAAATGGAAACTTAGATCTAGGACAATATTCCTTCATGAATACTACACAGCTATTATTACCATGGAGCTCTAGTAGTCTTGCTAGATGCAGCTGTTGGATGCGTGGATGCAGCTGTTCCCTAAAGTGACAGGCATACTTACAAACATGTAAAAAAATGCACCAGCCCTGACGCAGCTTCCTTTTCTATACATGGATCACATAAAGCAAGTCTTAAGAGATACAGAGAAGTTTAATTCATGTCCCATCTTTTTTTCCCCATTTCTAAGCCACCAAACCAGGAGTGGGGAAATGTTTGGCTTGACGGCTTTTCTATTTTGATGCAGCTCTTGGAGACCATATTCAATGGGCAGGCAGGGAGGAAAAATTCCAGTAGCCACCCCAATATATAATAGGAACCCTGTCTACAAGCAGAGCAACTTCTGCAGGTCTATTCAGAAAGACAAGTCTCTGCAGGCCAAGAAGGAGCAGGCCTGAATTATTTAGCAGCAGCTTCTTCCACTGGCCCTGTCCACACTGCAAAGAAAAGTTCTTGTCTCTGAACAGTAGAAGATCAAAACCAGGAGACGAAATTGTTGGGCTGGATTGGGAAACTCAATTCCTTCCCCAAACTAGGGACACGTCACATAAGCACATAAAATCATTTAATTCTTTGCTTAGACAACCCTAAAAGTGGACTTTCCTTCTTCTGTTACCTTCACAGTATTTGGAATAGAAATGGTTTGAAGTTAAGGTTCTTTAAATAAGATCACAGCCAACTTATAGGTGGCATCAAGCCAAATTGAAAAGGGCACCTAGAAAACAATTTGAGGTAATCCCCCATCCCAATAGACAGAGACTAAAATCTCTGGTTTTGTGGGTAAGAGGGTTGGCTACAGCAGCCATTCCATTATAGGCTCTTTGCTGGGTTTTTTTCTGCAGTTTTCTCTTAAATTTAAAGAAGCCACCCTAAAACAGAATTGTGTATCCAGTCTGTACAAGTACAAGAACATAATTTTCATACCTTTTGCCCCAAGTGGGTTCAGAAAGAGTGGAAGACATGCACAATAGATTTAAGCAATTTGCGAAAGTATCGTGGGTAAGGCGCAAAACTATTGTGCATAGTCTGTGGAATAAACCTTGTTCTGCAGATTTCACTTACAGAAAAAAATAGCTCCTAGCGCTTTTTCAACTGCAGATTGTACACAAAAAATGTCCTACATTTAGCCCATCAGAAACTATGCCGATATCAGGCAATGACACTATTCGGGCACAGTTGCAAGGACAAAATGTCACCAACCCCCTTCCTTTTCTACCAGCACTAACAAACAGTTCTCGGGGCTTGCACGAAACGACACAGTGACACAGTCCTTGCCTGCTAGGAGAAGTGTTATTTACAAATAGCACACATACATCAAGGGAATTGCCAGGATTTCAGTTGAAAGCCTGTCTATTTGCTTACTATCCTATCTTATGATGTACAACAGGACTGGGTAACTTGCAGCATTCCTGATGTTCTGGTCTACAACTCCCATCAGCCCCAGCTAATGAAGCCAATAGTGATGGATGACAGGAGAAACTGTAACTGAAACATTTGGAGGCTGCCTCTGCATCCAGTGTACAAAACCCATGCAGATTAATTTACCACTGATAAATAGGATTGTTTAATTATGATTAATTATGATCGATGAATATGGAATTCACTGCCAAAGGAAGCAGAGGCTTTAAAAAGGGATTGAACAGATTCATGAGGGAAGTTGCTATCTATCTATCTATCTATCTATCTATCTATCTATCTATCTATTTAAAACATTTCTATGCTGCCCCATTCGCCGAAGCCTCGGGGAGGCTCACAACATAAATTAAAATAGAATACATTAAAATATAAAACAAATTAATATAAAATAAGTCACCCTGGCCAGATAAAATAAGCAAATAATATTAACAATTAAAATGATGTTTAAATAAAAAGGTCTGCTATCTGTGGCTATTAGCATTACTGGGCGTGCGCTGCCTCTTTTACCCAAATCAGCATGCCCACATATGCCAGCTGCTGAGGAGCTTAGGCAGGCAGAGGTCTTGCACCCATCCTGCTTGAGCAAGCCTGTGAGCAACTAGTTGCCAACATGAGTACAGAGTGCTGGACTAGATGGCTCTTTAGTATGACCCAGCATAGCTTTTCTTGTGTGTGCTTATGATAAAGCTCCTTTTAAAGGAAGATAGTTGAACACACAACATGCATGGGACTTGTTATTTAGTTTTGATTAACCCTGCATAAGCAAGTCATATCATTAAGCACAATCAGAATGGTCTGTCACCATGACAATTCAGTGTTGTTTACCCAAAGAAGACATTATAATATAATCTGGGGTGAGATTAGTTGAGATGACACTGTAGAGAACATGACATTCTCAATAAATAAGAATGGATCCAGTTTCCCCCCAGCAGTTACTTTGTGAAAGTAACTGAGATCCAGCAGAGGCTCATGCTGGAAGATGATTTTCACTAATTACCCCTTCCCCCTGCAGCCTCCTGGGTTACCCATCACTATTCCAGATGCTTCACCAGTCCTCTCGAACAGCTTTTAAGGAAACACAGGGGAAAATATAATGGGTAAAATCAGCAAGGATCACCTTTACTTCATATTTCAGTGGGAGCATCCTGGGTATGGAATTCCACTGGTATGGACTCCAAATCCAATCCATACTATCACAAAACTAGAAGAATAAAGCGTGCAATTTAATTTGCCCTGTGCAAACTCAGTCATTACGGTATTACACACAAACCATCTAAAACAGGTCAGTGTGCTATGCTGACAGTAAACACCCTGGCTGTCATTTGGCAACTTCCAAACATCATGATAGGTAGCCAAAGGATTTAAGAGTCAAATACAGTTAATCCCTGTTTAGGTATTACCAACAGTCATTTTTGGGCAGGTGGAATAGATTTCAACCTATACAGCCAGCCCACAGCATCAGAAAAATGCAAAAGTTCTTAGCCTCGATCCATCTTCCCCAATCCTGTGGTTTCCAGCTGTGCTGGGATTATAGTTCCCATCAACCTAAGAGTTGCAATATGGGAATTATATGAGCTGTAATTTAGTACATCCTGGTGTCAGAGGGGGAAGACTGACCTACACAATCAGGCACCTAGTGTTTTCCCAATTTTGCCAGCAGACTGGAACAAAGGAGGCTGTGTTATACAGAGCCACTCTACTGGTACATCCAACCCAATACTTACTAGCAATAGCTCTCCAAGGTTTTGGGCAAGAGTTTTCTAGTCCTACCTGAAAAGCGATTGTTTGAACCTGTAATCTTCTACTTGCAACACATGCATTCTACCGCTGAGCTACTGGTTAAGACAAGTTCTGCACAGGGCTTGAGGTCTGGAGTTGCTGAATCAACTAGTCACTGTTGAGTCAGGTCAACTGTACTAGATCAGTTTGACTGTGGACAAACATTTTGCTTTGTCAATATGCATCAAGAATATATAGTGGACTGCTGACCAAGCCTCTCCCCACTACCCAGACCACTGACACTGGCATGATCTGGAGGTCTAAAAAGTGAAACAGAGAAGGTCCTTGAATCACGTAGTTCCAACTTCAGTTCTGATGGAGAGGGTGCTCAAATTCTTTTTGTATTTTCACACAGTTAAACTGGCCCAACTCTAGAACATTCAGTAAACCTCTCTCAAGTGCTGGTCAATAGGCAATCTTGTTTCACAAATTCTTAAGGCAAGTTAGACAAAATGCAGAGCTAGACTTTTAAGGTAGACATACTAGCCTGAATCCCAGTCTATTACCCTGGGAGAATTTTCTATAGTAAGACCTTCCAGAAGAGTCTACAGAATCTTTAACTATAAATGTTTAATCAACACACATTCTTTGACCATAAATAATGAAGAACTGAGTGGGGCTGCTGTGGGCAGGACATTTTGGAGGGCCCTCATTTATAGTGTTGCCCTAAGTTGGAGACAACTTGACAGCACATAACAAGTGAGGGATTACAATAAGATGAATTTTAACCAGGAATAGAATAGGACCCTGGATTCTAAACCCATTTTAGTTTACCGTTTTTATACCTATGCCTGTCAGGTTTATGGATCTCTGGCTACATTTTATTCAGGCAAAGATTTGTTTCTTATCTATTGGACATCACATTTCTTCAGTAAGGGATTGTTTAATCTGGCTAATGCTTCTTTAAACATGTCCAGAAATTGTTTCTTTGGGAAGAAGATTATATATATGATATTTTCTGATCTACATGCTTTTTAAAAATCATCTTCCCAATTCCTGGAAATTAACAAATGGTAACTGGAAATGAATTTTCCTTGACCTTTGTATAGCTAAAAAACTGACAGAACACTAGAAGAATAAAAGCTGCCCCCCACCCCATAAATGCAATTAAGTGAGGATCTTAAAATGATTTCTACATTTGAATGGGTGCATGCAGATGACACTTCATATAGATACTTACCAGGCTATCAAGTCCACTCCCACTGAAGCTTATGATTGCTAGAAAAAATGTGTCTTCATACATATGCATTTCCTATGTATTCATTGATATGGATACATACATACATACAAGACTAAGCATGTACTTTTTCTTTATTTTCCTTTTATATGTCTTACAGAAATTTCAGAATAAAAATCATTTGTTAGAACTAGCATTAGTAGGCAGACATTATTTGAAGCCCACCTCTCTCCAAGTAGTCTAGTACATATTATTCTAAAGAGGAAAGAGGACTAACTTGAATGTTTCACTGCTTCTAAACACCTTCAAACTACAGGGCAAAAGTTCCTTGATGCTTCCACTGTTTGAAAAACCCGGCACAAAGGAAAAATCTGAGCCATTCTCCAAAACCAAAAAGTGTCAGAGGACTTGAGAAAAGTATATGGAATGCGCTCCCCAGGGAGGTCTGTCTGGCGCCGATATTATACTCTTTCCGGCACCAGGTAAAAACCTTTTTATTTAAGCATCATTTTAAAAATTAATGGGTTTTAGACATTTTCTTGTTTCTTTTTGTTTCAATTGCACTTTGTATTTTTTAGTTTAATTCATAATGTTCAATTTTAGATATTTTAATAACTGTAGTTTTAATATTGCATTTCATAATTTTATATTATGTAAGCCGTCCTGAGCACTTCCATGGAAGGACAGGATGTAAATGCTGTAATAAATAAATAAATAAATAAAATTCGCTTTTCCTGCTCAGCATGAAACAAGACCCCACCAAATACTGTAAAGCAAAGGGAGGGGGCTCATGTGCTGAGAATAGGTAGTTGCCAAGAATAGATTCAGGTATGCATTTGCAGAATCTTGGTCTCACACTGCTGCAGTTTGTCCATCTTTCTCTCCAGAACCACTTTACTGAAACCAATGGGAGAAATTACAACAGAAATGGAGAAGTCAACTTCTTTTAATCTGGTACAGTCATCCCAATGCTCCTTTTCCAAACAAAAGACTATAGTTCTTACATAAACTGAAATTAATCACTTACAACAGGTACATATGAAATATTTATCTTTGAGTATACATGTATATATGAAAATACAGCTAACAATAAGAACAGCTTTGTGTATGCTTCAAGAAAGGCAAACTGAATATCCATATATTTCTCTATTAGCATGTGTCATCTAAACACTTCCCATTCAAATGTTGAATGCATTCCTAGGTCTGCTAACCAGCATATTATAGGAAGTGGATGTTTATTTTTCCAATTTTGTTATATCAGTCTTTTAAAGACTGCCTGTCTTTATGGTGATATTTCCATAATTCAATGAATATCTCACTAAAATAGCCTATTAGCTAGAAACCTGGCTGAAACTGACATTGCTGGAATCCAACCCACAAAGCTATATGAGAATTCTAACTTAAAATCACATGTAAGAACCTCAATAACAAAAATGCAGCAACCATCACACGCTGGAAAAGCATCATCTTCTACTTGCTTTGTTGTGCAAATTTAAGTTTCACATCAAGACCAAATAAGAAATTCATGGTGGGTCATAACCCAGGATTGTGTAATTCATTTTCTCTTGGGATATAAATACATATGGACAAGTTGGCTATTTAAATATTTGTTTCAAGATTAAAAAAAAATGTCATCTGTTCTAATCCACCATTTAACATAATCAGTGGAAATTCTATATGAGAATAAGCCTCAAAGATGACAGTGAAAAATAATGGGAAAGTCAAAGTCATTTCTCAAGATACAGCGACAGATTGGTTGGTCATACCAATACGTAAAGATGAATTAATGTCAAGTCTCCTAAAGTAAAACACTCTGCTTAGCTGCTCCCAAACTGTCACCATTCACTGTCTTCTGCTGAAGACTTCGACACGGTAATTATAGAATTAGAAGATCTATCTGCTGAAATCACAGGAGGACATGACTAAACGGCACAGTTACCTTGACAAGGCGAGTTCAGTTGTGCCCCTCAAACACTACTGTCCAACTCTGGCAATGGGTACAGGGCCTTTGCTGCTTTATGGATGTGCTCTGAGTATCTGACCCAGCAGCAAAGTAATTGATGCAAGTAAAAGCCCCACATTTATTTTTGTTTATTTTATTTAAACTTTTATATACCATTCCTTAGCAGCAAGCATTATATGTAGGATAGGGTAAGATAGGTAAAGTCCCTAGACCACAGCTCAAGCAGTCCCAGTTGGCAACCAATCTACAGAAGGCAAATGCCTCTGCAGCTAGGAAAGACACCGCCTATGTGCCTGATGCTGCCTGTCACAGACATGTTCCAAAAGAAAAGCTCAAATGGATCAAACCAATGGTCTCTTTACTCTCGCATCCTTTTCCTAAAGGATCCAACCAAATGCATGTAAGAAGCCCCCAAGAAGAAAATGGGCAAAACAGCATTCTCCTACTAGTGAACCACAGCACTTGGCATAGAACCTTTGATAGCAGAGGTAATGTATAATAGGTACCCTGACTAACAGCTGCTTAAAGGATCCTAGTTTGTGACCATTACTAATGTTTTGTAGTAATTTCTCAATTTCCACAAAGCCAGCCCAACCTTATCAAGAAATCTCTTTTTAGAGGACTGTTAGCAGACAAAACCTTCCACAGATTCAAGTTTCACAGTACACTACAACTCACAGGCATCTCCTGAACTTGCAACCCAACGACATAATGGGTAATGTTTAGGTTGTTCATATTAAAGGTTTATAGATGGTCATCCCACCTGGCCTCAAGTTTCACCAGTCAAGCAACTGAACTATATGGGGTGACTTTGCAGTAGGATCATCTAAGAAATAGAATAGAAAGATTTTTAAAAGTTTATAGGCAAATATTGAGGGATCATGTCAAAAAATTTTATGGAACAGTTCCCATGTGACTCTAAGCAGGAAACTTCGATAACCATAAGTGGAGTCGGAAAATATGGTTCTCTGAATCCTATTCTTCACAAAAACTCAAGAACATTATTGGCTTTCAAATACTGCATGCACTTTAACCTGATGCTCCCTGAATGGTAGCATACATCTTTTGGCAGGAAAAGCACCAGATTTCAAGTTGTCTACTTGAAAAGTAGTTGCATTTGTGTCCTGTCTCACAAGGCAAACAAGAGCCTGTGAGGACTAATGCACTGAAACAGCAACCCTACATAAATTACTTGGAAGCACATCCCACAGAACTCAATGGGATATACTTCAAGGTAGATATACATAGAATTGTGCAGCAATATTGGACCTAACCTTAAGTCTCAACTCAGCTGTGGATTCATTAGATGGCTTTGATCAAATCTCTACCTCTCAGTTGCAAAAGTGAGCAGAAACAACACGACTCAGACTGTTGAGAAAGGAAAGTAAAAACTGTAAACATTTGTACGTTAAGAGCACTACAATAATTATTCCTAACTTTCTGTGTCAGAATTCCTTTTGGGTATTCAGTACAACTTACATCTGTTAAATAACCTTCAGAAAAGAAAACCCTGATAAAGCCAATAAAACAGCAAATAGCTGCTAGAACTTCTCCCACAGAAGCTAGTAGGCCAAATAAAATGTCACCAAAGTGAGCCATCTTGAGTCTACCTTAGAGGAAGAAACAGGGGAAGCAGCTTTATACCCAGTTATCTAACTCAGCATTCTCTGTCCAAAGTTTCAAGCATGACTCTTTCCCAGCTCTACTTTTGAGATTGCTGGGAATTAAACCAGGGAACTTTTGTATGCAAAGCATGTGTTCACTGACTAAGCAGCAGCTCCTTCCTTTGCATTTGTTTTTTTGTTTTGTTTTTATCAATCTGCTTTGCATAGGTACAATTCTTATAGTACCTACAAATTCACAGCACAAGTCAGTACCATTATATCCATAATGCAGTCAGAGCTGAACTTAAGAAAGCAACTTCCCAGCTCAAAACTTCCAGCAACTACATACAACCTGTAAATTTATGCACACACACTTCAGACAGCCAGACTTATAAGTAAACACGGGTTAGGATTGGTAGGCTGGGCTGTTGCATTTGCTTGCTAGCAGGGAAACGGGCTCCTTTTCCACTACCAAAGGAACCAACCAACTTGTTCCACCATAAATGGAAAACAACCCTCCCGCTCAAAGTGGCCGCCCTACTGGAGACGTTACAAAGAAAGAGACCCACCATCCCACTTACCTTCTACGCCAAGATCCTCAGGTGCTGCTGCTATTTTTTAAAAGGCTATACGGGTCCCCACTATAGCTAAACTCAAGGGCGAGAGGAGAGGCTTGCACGTTTCATCAGCGGCCCCCCAACACTAAAACATGGGAGTCCCCAACATGCACCTCTCTACCATCCTCCAATTCTATCCCCTCCAACAAAAGCCTCCACACCAAATCCCAACAGATTTCCCAAGTAAGCCGCGTAGGCAGGCAACACCGCAGGCCTTAGCCTCGCTACGAAAGTCAGCCAGCCGCCCGCCCGCCCGCCCCCTCCCCACCGACCACCTAAATTCTTCGGTGGGGCTCTCGGGTGGCCGAGCTCCGCTCAGCCACTGGCGACGGCCGCCGGAGAACTCATCAGGCCCAGGCCACGACCAGGCCCGCCCCTCCCTCCTTTCGACCGTCCCTCCCTCCCTCCCTCAGGCCAACTTGTACGCCCACTCCTTCCTCACCCTCCGAGGAGGAAAGGCGCTGCCGCCCTTCACCCGCCCCCAGGCCTTCCTCCCGTCTCCCTCGCACTCACCACACAAGGTCCCCGAGCCTCAGGTTCACAGGGACAGCCGCCGACGCCGCCATCTTCCCGACCCAGCCGGCACCGTCGTTGTTGCTGCTGCCGCCGCCGCCACACCCCTCCTCCTCTGCCCAGCCCAGAACAACCACTATGAACGGCGGCTGTTCCTCTTCCTCTCCAGGCGCAGAGACTCCCGGGCCGCGGCCTTTCGCTCCGCCCCCTGCCTACCCTCCTGTCTCAGCCCCACAGGTCAGATCAGAAAAAGTGGAGGCGGAGGGTGGACAGGAGGAAGAAACGAGCCGAGCGACGGAGCGTGCTCGCTGATAGGTCGACCCTCTGCACGTGACAGGGGCGCTCCGTCGGCGCCGCCCACGTGACCTGCCAGGCCTGTTCCTCAAAAGGAGTCCTGGAAGAGAGGAGGGAGTGCGGCGCGCGGGGGTTCCGTTGGCGTCACATGACGCGGGCCTAGGCCGACGCTCGGGTCGATTTCCTTCCTTCTGTTTGTTTTTCCCCTTCCCTCGTTCACTTGCTCCCCTTGCACGTGATCGGGGATAGTGAGAGACCGTGCGTGACTGAGAGTGGGAATTGGATCCGGCGGCAGCGCTTGTGGCGGCAGGAGAGGTGGCAGCGAAGAGGAAAAGTGTGCCGAGGAGAGCCCGAGGTCGTGCTAGCCCGACGGGATTCGGAGGCCGGCGAGCGTTGCTCAGGTAGAGGGCGGGAGAAGGGACAAACCTCCCCAGGCGCGCTGAAGCGCCTCCCCTGTAACCAGGGGCAACGGGGCCTTCCTCTTCCCTCCGCCGGTGCGGAATGCGCGGCGCTCTGTAGCCCTTAGCCCAGGTCCGAGGCAAGGGTCAGCTTTTCGCCGATGATACCGGACTGGGAAACGGGCGGGTGGTTATTTCTTGGACGGGCAGCTCTGAAAAAGAGTGGACATCTCAATGAGTGGTTTTTCATGGCTCGGGGTGGGTCTGGATACGACCGTGTCCAAGGGTCGAGGAGGAAAAGAGTATTTTTGCAGCCTCTGAAGTGCAGCAAGCCCAGCTCTTCCCGACCTGGTGCCTTCCGGAGGTGTTGGACTACAGATCCTAGTATCCCCAGCCAGCAGGTGGGATAGGGGAGGACAGCAGGTTGGAGAAGGCAGACCTTAGAGCCCTTTGAGGCAGAGGGTGGGGAGTCTATCAAGAACTACTAACCACAGTGGCTCAGCAGAACCTCCAACTGCAATAGCAGTACATCTCTGGGTGCAAGATGTTGTGGAGCAGCCTTCCCCTATCTGATGCTCTCCAGATGTGGTGGACCGCAGTTCCCACATCATCTCTAGATACGTTCGATGATCTGAAGGGCACTAGCTAGGAAAGCTGTTTTGGACAGATAAAGGGGGTAGGGAGGGTACAACCTTTGCTGACATCCTAGAGGCATCTGGCTGCTTGCTGTTAATGCTGGAGTATTAGCGTGTTAAACCCTTTTCAGCCCAAGGGCTGAATTCTCTTTCCCAAAGGCTCCATGTGTCTGTATTCCAGTGATGAGCGGAGCTGAAAGTAAAAAGACTGGAATCCAAAATGCCTTTCTTATCAAGTATTTCAGTTTAAGTCCTTTTTACCAACAAGTCAGCCTTCAAAGGAGCATGGGAAATAAAGGGTATAAAAGCCCAAAAGCTACCAAAAGTTAGGAAGATGAAGTGAGGTCTTCTAAGTATCCCTGGAAGGCTACAAGGGAGTGCTAGATGGGCTGGTTTGACCCTAGGCCTGATTTTTCCCACACTTGCTTAGGCAGAATTTGTTCTGATGGTTTGGCAAGGCAGTTCTTCTGTTCTTATAGTTCTAGAGAAGTCTTTTAGGCTGGAAGGCACAATGGAACCTCTGTACATAGAAGAACTGGATGCTGGGGACAGACAACATGCTGCATAATACAGTCTTTCTTCAGATCCAGCAGTTAAGATATGTTAGTATTCTTAATACTTAGTGCTAACTTGAATCCTGCTTCAAAGCATGTCAGATGTGCTATTTCAGGAATCTTCCAAACTATAATGTGAGACAGGGCTGAGGCTTGGAGGGTGACTTGGTCTAAGTCTAGCTTGCAAATTTACTGCTGAACCAGGGACATCCCAGCATTCTGATCGCAGCAAGTGTCCTACATTCTTTGTTGAGCATGGGTTCTTAAGCAATGCAATACTCATTCTTGACAGAACTACTTAAATGCCAGAAAGACAGAAAAATGACCTGCTGTTGTCATGGGGACCAGAAGTATGCAGTCCCTTGGTTTTCTGGGAACTGAAATGTGGCAGAATAAAACAGGAGAACACCATATCTGAAGTGCTGTTGGATCTCAGAGTTCATTTTGATTTCAAATAGTTGAACTGATTGGATGAAATTTGTTTCGGCATCCTGATTCATGGCTTACTGAAGACATAGAAGAACATAGTATGGTGCTATAGTTGTGATTGCACCATCTATTGGCATGCTACTTGTCAAAGTATGACAAGTCCCAACTTTTCAAGGGCTTGCAATCTATAAATCAACTAAGAAGCAAGAGAAATGAAAGCAGAGGTAAACAGAGGAAGAATATGCAGTTCTTTCTGTAACATGCCTGAACTGTGAACGGCATGGTGCTGGTAATTTGCCGAGGGATTTATAGATAAAGTGGGTTTTGAAAGGAACCCAAAGTCAGCAATGAAGGATTAGAGAGGTGAAAATTCTAGTATTTTAAGGTGAGAGATGGCTAATTGGATGGGCTGCTCAGCTTTTGTTAGGGGGACAGAAGAAGGGCTATATCTGTGCCATGTTGTAAAGGGAGAAGTGATGTGATTTGCTAATAAGCTGAATATAATGAACGAAGCATAAAATGGAATAAAGGAAAAAGCCAAGGCTTCATTATTTGTCAGTGAATGAGGTAAGTGTACCTGGAGAGGAGAACTTAGAAGGAACAATGAGGTTTGGCAGCCTTGGAGTGCTGAGTCTGAGACAAAGATGAACCATTCAAGAAGAAATGTCAGGGAGGCAGTTAGAAATATGGCATTCAGTTGTGGAAGAAAATTCTGGGATAAAATAGTAGACTTGAAGCTTATCAGTGTGTAGGTGGTACTTAAAACCAGGGTTGTTGATGAGATACAGTGTCCTTTGGTGGTGAGAGAGGAATGTAGGAAGTTGCCTCATATGGTCAAACAAATGGTCTAGCTACCTCAGTATTACTTGTGCTGATTGGCAGTAACTAACTAAGATTTCAGGCAGGCGACTCCAGCATCTCCAAATAGGACAACGGAGGATATTTGCATGCAGATCATGTGCTCTGCCATTGAACCACAATCCTAGTAAAGGTCAAAGAACAGAGCCCAAGATCACCCAATAAATTTTATCATTCAGAACAGACTTGAACCCAGGTCTCTCAAGTGGCTTTCCTAAAAAGGCTTAAGCCTTGTTCCTCAGAGATTTGTTGTTTTGTAGCAGGAACCCCCAAGGAATTGATTTACACAGATTTATTCTCTAAAGGATGCTATTTGTGTGTATCGCACTTTCTGTGCCTTGGGAAAAATGAAGTGCTGTGTGTCTGCTCTGTTATAAACACAGTGGTAAAGTCAATTTGCAAATATTTTATCTGGGCAATTTCACATCCAAGCCTCTTATCAATAGTATTCAAAGGATTTTCAGTTTGCATATTTTCTTTAATGAATAGAGCATCTAACATTGTGTAATTTGCTAGTCATCCACAGGCACTCGAGCTAAAAATAAGAATTCAAGCAACGCAGTATGTCACATTCTGGTCACAAAATATGTGTTGGTCATTGTGTGTCACATACTGTATGTTTGCTGAAGGCAGGACTTACCTTTCTCAACCAAAGACTCAATCAAAGTACATATGGCTCAGTACCTCTGCTTTCAGCTGTGCTCCTGGCTAGTATTAAGACAGTGACAGTAATCCATCATTGTTCGACTCCAGCAACTGGTAAGAACAGGTAGTGTTTCTCTGAGCTTGGAGCTTTCATTCTTGTGCTTTGTAATAAATGTTGATGCACATGCGATCTATCAGTTTAATCAGGCCTGGGCAAACATTTTCAACTCCATTGTAGCTAACCTTCCTGGGGCTGCTTGCCAGGTGTAGGCAGGGCCAAAGCTGCAGTGGATGGGCAACTCTATGCTCTCTTTCAGACATGCATATACACTCCCCACTTTCAGGGGAGCAATTAGGCTTGGAAACAGCTTTCCAGGAGGTGACTTTTTTCAAGCCCAGTTAAAAAACAGGAGAGGGGACTGTGCGTTCTGTCCAGTCTTTAGGCCAGCGTTTCTCCATCCCTGGTTTAAGCCCTTTTTGAAGTAATTTTTGCTGCTGGTAGTGTCAGCACCCAATGGTAATGAATTCCATTCCTGAGCATTGATGTAGATAAAGTATTTTATTGGGTTTTCAGAAATTTCTTACAATTACAGTGTATTTTAATATTTTAAAGGCTGCTTTTAATCAGCCTTTCCCAACCTGGTAGCCTTCAGAGGCATTTGGACCATAACTCCCGGAATTCCCATCTAGCAGGGCCATTGACTGTGAATTCTGGGTGTTGCAGTTCTAACATATCTGGAAGGCCCAAGGTTGGGGAAGGCTGATTTTAATAAAAACTCAGACCATTTGTACACAAAAACAGATATGAGTCACAGTCATTGCTCCTAAGCAGCAACAATTTTGTGTGTGTGTATGGACGGGAAGTTCTTGGGTTGGGTTGTTGCATTTGGTGTGTGTGCCCTTTTGATTGCTGGATCTTTCTGGTTTTTCTATTTTAGGTAGTGATAAAATAGAAGGCAAGCTTGGAAGAAACTTTGGGACCACTGTATGCATTTCTTGCAACTGGATTAATTTGAATCTGAACATTGGCAGACCTGCACTGGTCTGGCAGAAAGCCAGAACAAATGTGTTCATTGTCCTTTGCATCATGCCATCCCCCAGTGTGGGAAATGTTCTAACCCAAGGTGAAAAAGCCCAGACTTACTTTTATGGCCAAGGTCAAATTGGAACTGATTCTGTCTGCTCAGAAAGTTGTTTTTTCTGCATTTTCTGCTTGAAGCAGAGTCGAACTGCATTAAGGTTGTAACTTTAAGGGCTACAAGTTAACCTGTGAAGTTGCTGCTATGGGATGATTCTTCACTTCTGATAAAACCAGAGATCTTTGGTTTTTGTTTTTATAAAGCCTGCAGTTGTATATCATTTTCTACATTCAACATCCATTTTTGTATGTATACCAATGGTGATACCCCATTATCTGTGTAGCCTTTGGTCTAAACAGATGGAAATCATGCCATGAGAGCCTCTACAACGTATGTGTAGCCATGACAGAACCTCACAGGGTCCAGCTCACTTCTCTGTCAGGCCCACTAAGTACCAGTTTACTGAAGAAAACACGTCGGGAAGACGTTACAGGAACAGAACAACCACAGGAATCTGAACCTGCTGCTGCAGCCGTTCGCATTTCCCTCGCTCTTTTTGAGCCAGATCACAAGCGCTGCCCAGAATTCTTTTACCCAGAACTGCTGAAGAATACACGTGGGAAAGGGAAAAGCAGTTCTGTAGGAGAAAAGGTATGTGGGGGGACTTTTCTTTTAGTTCCCTTCAGTTCCGTGTACAGCTATCTATAGCAAAGCTCTTGAGATTTGTTTTCCTTATTGAAATGGGAGGGTGGGGGGGGGGTGAGGAAAACTGTTGCCAAATCTTCTTAAGAGCTGCTGCTTTTAATATTTGAACTGTGAATGGAATTGGAGACCTTCAGGCTCAATACTCAGTTTGTTTACGGTGCTGATTACTACTATTTTCGTATAACCAAAGCCTGTATATTAATCAAAATAGTGATGCAGTTCTATTTCTGAGCTGCAGTTCTAAAAGGCTAAAATCAAAGAGAATGGCACTTTTCCTAGGTGGGAGATGGTGGAACCTCCCAGAAATCCACAGTCCTCTGGCCTCTGACTAGAATCAAAGTGCCTTTCCTCCTCGCCTTGGCAACACAGGGCAGCTCATTGGTTGAAGGGTTCTTTCATTCAGGGTGAGGCATCAAGATGATCTCAACTGATAGCTTTCCCTTGCTGATGTTTCTGTGATAGTAGTTGTTTGACCATCCAGCAGCCCGGTATCATGTTCGCTTTCTAAATACGTTGACCATGTTACCAAGTCTGTATGGTATCCCACAGAAAGAGAACAGTTGTGAACTCGTTTCCTACCATTACTGAGTCTTGCAAGTAGCCAGGAGACCAACACAAGTGAGCCAAGCCATGCACCACAAGGAGAGGCAAACCTCCTTAACTGGTAGTCTAGGGGTAACGATTCCTTCCTGGCTCTTGCAAACATCTGTGCGATTATCTTGAAAAAGCCCTTGCTTCCTCCATGAAACATCCTGTGTGTCTTCACCTGTTTTTCCTTTTTCTGCAGAAAAAAGACCTTCCTGATCCCTTCAATGATGATGAAAAGGAGAGGCACAAAGCAGAAGCGCTTGCTAGGAAGTTCGAAGAGAAATATGTATGCTTCTCTATTATGACTGTAGCAGATAAAGTCTTAGTTTGTGTCTTGCTCACCAAAATGCCTTGAAAAACCCAAATGCAGTTGACACCAGGATTTTGTCAGAGTAAGACTGTATACACAGGAATGCACTACAGTAGTAATAGCTGGGTAGAATGGGACTGATACCTGGGTGATTGATGTTTATAGCACAGGTGTTTTGTATATGTTGTAAGTTGTTGACATTTTTTATCTCGCCCTTCTTTTAAAATGCTCAAAGTAGTGTGTATGGTTCTCTTCAGCCCATTTTACTTTCATAACAACCCTGTGAGGTAGGTTATGCTTCTAGTACTCTAAACAGTGGTATTTGTACCACTGCTATTTTTGGAAGGCTTTTTGAAAGACAAGTTAAAAATGTTTAAATAGACCTGTCCAGTGTAGGATACCTCAGATTAATCCTGGTGACATTCCAAAGAGATACATTTTATTAATGTGTCTCAGGTAAAAATAACATACTCTTTATCTTTTATGTATAAAACCAAAGAAGATGCAATCATCAACGATACATCTCCTTTCCTACAAGTAGTATCTGGTTGACTATAAAGTGATTTGTAAATACAGCCTATTTCTAAAATCTTTTCCTAAACATTTTCACATATTATAGTACTTACAGTGACCTTGCAGGTAAGATTTAGTATTAGAATTACCTTCTCTGCATTTTGAGAGAGCAACTCATCTAAGGTCACCTGGTGTGTTTGTGGCAGAGGTGAGATTCAAAGGATTCTCATTCATAGTTCAGTCTCCTAGATTACTAGACTACATTGTTAGTTCATAGATTTATCATGCTTGACTCTCACCTTTCTTCCAGGTAATTCAGGATGATATGAAGGTAAAAGGAGATAGCCCTATGTGTACTTTGTGACATAGACTAGTGAGAGTGTGTGCTACCCATAGGTTCCCCAGAGTCTTGTGGCAGAGCACGGGTTGATCCCCAAGTCTTTCCAGGACAAGTCTGGCACAGTACATTGGCTTTCTCATCGATATGTTGCAGGCCTTGCTCCAGCTTTGATTAGAGACTTACCTTGTGATAGTTCATGAAACTAATGCCGCATTGATTTTGTAGGTTAAGTTGCTGGTTTTGCTTCAGTGTCTCTCCACTTGGAATTGCAGTTGAACTATCCTGTAGGAAAGTAGTCTGAAAAGTGAAGATTTGTGCTTGACTGTGGGATCCTGGATTTCATCTCCAAGTTTATCAATCTGGCAAGGGGGGGTAGTTCTGGGGGTGGTGGACTTAGCAACAGAGTATATTATAGCTTGCTTTCTTTGTAGCAGTGATGCTAAGCAATGTCTTTCTTATTTCAGGGGGGAAAGAAGCGCAGGAAAGACCGCGTTCAGGATTTAATAGATATGGGATATGGATATGATGAATCTGATTCCTTCATTGATAATTCTGAAGCAGTGAGTAGAGAATGGAAGGTTCAAATGGCTAACTGTAAAGTTTCAGGGGAAGTAATGGCGCTGTTTGCCTGAGTATTTCGCATAGTGGTAACGTCAGAGACTTCTTTGTACAGAAACTTGCTCTTGTGGCAGTGGTTCCAGGTTTCACAGCTGTGTTTGCCAGGGCCAGTTGCAGGCATTTGAAATGCTTCCTTAGTGCCAGTACCACACAGGCTCAAACAACTGCTTCTTTCCTGGCACGTTCCAGACCCGCATGCATTAGATCTTCTCTTTTACCAGAATTGTGAGGTGCACCAACTGGAACCAAGTGCCACTTAGTGGCTGGGGAAGAAGACTGATAATTAGGGAGCATTCACACATCACTCTAAGCCACGTTGAGTGGTTGTTTATCCCTTATTCCTGACAGACAATTACCTGCTTGGCAGCTTCCTGTGACATGTTTCTCCCTCAGGGCTCCAGGCAGCTGATAAAGGTGCATATCCAAGGGACCTTTGTGGCAGAAATCACTGCTCCTTGTGTTCGCTTCTTTCCTGCAATTGGGGTTGCTTCACATTTCACTAAAGTAAAAACACCCATCCCTAAAGTGCCTTTGCTTCTGCAGCCGTCAGTGGCCTTTGGCTCATCACCCATCTTTGTTCTTGTTGCTTCCCTTTGGATGTCCATGGCAGTGCGCAGGGTTGCAGGAATTGCACAAATCTCCTGGGAAGACAGGGAAATGGAGAAAAATTTCTAGCAGCCATCATTGGTTTCTGTGCACTTGTACAGATCTGTTTTTTTCAAAGGAACTCATTCAGGATGTTCTCAGGTGTTCCTCCAAATACCCTACAAAAATCCACCCTCTGTTTGAGAAGGGATGAAAGGGAGTGTTCCTGGCACTAGTGACGTCATGGGGAGCAGCGGAGATTTCACGGCTGCTTCGGGCTGGCTCTGTAGCCGTTTCCTACAAACCACCATCAAATCATCCTGCCAGGTTCAGATGTAACAAAAAAGCATTCTGAGAACAAGCTGCCCTGCAGGATCTTGAAACAAGTCCTGGGTTCTGAGGGCAGCTTATTTGTGCAAAACCAGCTATTGCAGGTTCTGGTGACATACTACGCAATTTTGAGAGCATCCGTCATAACAACGCATCGTGGCGTAGTATGACCCTAAGCCTAGTCATAGGACCAAGGGAAATGGTGCATTTTGCCATATGTTCAGATGAGCTCAGTACTGGAACGGAGCTCTCAGTCTTTTCCGTCACAATTCCACCGCTAGTTTTCCTTTAACCCTAAATCTTAAACAACTGACAATAAGAACCTTCTTCCTAGTGTACAGTCATAAGGCAGAGATATACAAGTGGATCTGCTTTCTTCCCATGCCTGATCTAAAGGATGCTTGGGCCTACATTAAGGGAATCTTAATGCAGGCTAGCAGCATTTTTCCTTTTTCTACTTCCCAGAGTTGTACCTCATGTTGGACTTTTAACATAATTGCTGTATTAAAAACAGGTTTTGTGGTGAGAACCATTGCAGCCAACTGAAAGGGGCGGGGGAAGGGGAACTAGAACTGGAGCTGCATACAGACCAAGGGGAAAGATTATTAGCGCTCGAGGGGGATGGGGTGTGCAACTGTAGCTGAAGTTTGCTACTGCACAGTAGTGTGCAGGTGAAAAGAATATGGCATTTTTTTCATGAGCAGGGTGACTTTAGGCCTATTTGTTGGGAATGTGAGTAAATGGTTTTGTTAGGATTCCATATTCCAGTTTTGCTATAAGAGAGCAATGCATGAATGCTGACAGGTCTCTGTTTTGTTTCCAGTATGATGAGCTTGTCCCAGCATCTCTAACTACCAAGTATGGAGGCTTTTACATCAACTCTGGAACTCTACAGTTCCGCCAAGCTTCAGAATCAGAGGATGATTTTATCAAAGAGAAAAAGAAGAAATCTCCTAAGGTCTGGCATTAGGATGGTCTGAATGCCTTTTAATAAATTAATCAATTACTTGCCATTGTTATGTAAGAACAAGGCCAATAACTGAGACAACCTAAGTTCTTAGCAGAGGGTACTCCTTCTCTTAAAGAAATAAGTGCTACCTTTGGCTTATAGTTGACAGCTGCCTTCTGTGCATGGATTCACTGGATTTGGAAAGTGATGGGGAATCCTCTCATTTTCAGCATTAAGTATGACTCCAGAAATATTTGGGTATGGGGGCTTTTGGCAAAAATTTGTTTGTTTGTCTGTCTGTCTGTTTGCAGCCCTGTTTAGTGATAGGGTGATTGATCATTTACATCCTTCCTTTATGAGAGGCTTCATTTCCATGATGGAAAAAGAATTATTCTGCTAGCAGGAGCGGTGCTGTATGCTTGGGCTGCACAATAATGTTAGCTCTGAATTTTAGACTGTAAGCCTGCATGTAACACCTGTTTCTCTTAATGAAAGGATTTAATGTTGTCTAAAGTGCTCTTTGATAACTGTAATTATAATGTAATTATTTTATTTCCAGAAACGGAAATTGAAAGAAGGAGGTGAGAAAATGAAGAAGAAGAAGAAAGATGATTCCTATGACAAAGACAAGAAATCTAAAAAATCTAAGTTTCCCAAAACTGGGTAAGAGTTTACTATTTGTATTAAACAGTTTGTGAAAATGATGGACGTCTCCCGTTTCTTTCAGCAAGCAGACATCCTGGATTCAAATCCTGGTTCTAAGCCAGCAATTTCCTAGGGCGGGTGATATGAATTGAGTATCTGATCTTTATCAATAATCTGTTTCCCAGGAATGAATGAGATAAATATTATGAATAGTGTTGCATGATGCAGAAATCAATGCTGTAGATAATAAAAATGAATTGCTTGATGAGTTCTTTAGTCTCAGAGCAAGTTCATCAACTAGTTTCTTCTCTTACATGTCATTGGTGCAGCAGCAGCTAAACTGGCAGTTCCTGAAATATCCTGGCAGCTCTTTATGTGTTTAGAAAAATCACACATGTTACTGTTTTCTAAGTGCAGAAATAGCCACTGAGGTCTGATTTCCAGCTTCTAAAATAAAACTTATCAGTGTCTACACTTAATTTTGCCATCAAAAGCTTGCCAACCTTCAGCGTTATGTTTTTGTTTTCTCTTTTACCCACATCTCTAATCCATTAGCCATTACATGGCACTGTAATGTAGTGGTTAAGAGTGTTAAAGACTAGCCTTTTTTCTTAAGAAGAAGCCAAGACTTCAGTAGCTCCATTTTTACCCTCACAGCCCTCTGATGTGTGTTAGACTGGGCATGAGTGACTGGCTGGCCCAAAGTCATCCAGTGAGCTTCATGGTTGAGTGGGGCTAGAACCCAGATCTCCTAAGTCCCCATTCCAAACAAGCTCAATTGAATGTTCTTTCGTGTGTATCTCAGACTTCTCCAACCAGATGTATTTTCAGCACAATTTTCAGCATCCTTCAACCTGTAATTGAGGCAACATCTAAGTGTAAGGGCACCAGTACATTTGTGCTAGGGGTTCTTGTTCAGTTCCGGTTTAAGCATGAATTGAGTTTAAATAGGAGTTTTGGAAGTTTGCCCAGCACATGGTTCTGATACATGATTGTCACTGCATTCTTCAAAGGAGCACATTTCTATACTTCACATTCTGTACTTTTTAACACTGTAAAGGTTGAAAAATTCAGATTACAAACTGAAAAGGAGCAAACCATTGTTGCAGTTCTTGGAATTAACATTTTTTAAAAAGTCAAATTGGTTGAGATTTTATAATTGGTTTATCGCTGTTGCTGCTGCCATGTTGAGTGTCTAGTTGCCAGTCGATATTTCTTGTTTACTATGGGTTTATGGGAAATTGATTATTGATGTTCTATTTTTAACTCTTATTCTCTTGCTATTTTATTGTTTAAATTATCCTGTTTTATTGGTGTTTAGTTGCTATTGTTTATGTGAGCTGCCCTGAGAGTCTTCAGCTAAGAGGCATAGCATATAAGTACAGCAAATAAATAAATGTTTGTGCGGTTATGATTGTAGCAGACCAGGCCTGAGTTTATTATCAGTTGTTATTTCTGGAGTGCTGAAAAGTCTATGTTCCAAAAAAATAGCTCAATCTCAGGTCAGTTAGGCTGCAAGTTAGGTGGTCAGATGTGTGGAGATTTTGCCTGTCTCTGCAGCCAATATAATGCTCTGTCTTTCACAGTTTCACAGCCCTGAATGCAAGCAAGGAGAAAAAGAAGAAGAAATACTCAGGATCCCTGAGTGTCAAGGAGATGTTGAAAAAATTTCAAAAGGAAAAGGATGCTCAGAAGAAGAGGGATGATGAACCAAAGCTGACTGGTCCACCTCTGATGGAAACCCCACCTCCACGGGAAGTGGAGAGCGTGCCCGACCCAATTCTGTCTCTCTTCGGCCACACCAGCGACAACGAACTGCTTCAAGCAGCCACAGCCATGGACTCTCTGACTGACCTTGACCTGGAACAGCTTCTCAATGAATCTCCGGAGGAAAGCCCTTTCCATGATGTAGAGGATGGGAGTGACCCCCTCGGGGTGGGCCTAGAGCAGGAAATCAAGCAGCCTCTCTCCCTTCCTGAAGGACTTCCAGGACCCCTGGAGAAGCGCATTGAGGAACTGACTCAGGTACTGCGCGTCCTACTGGATGTGGCAAGTCCTGCCTCTCACAGAGGAGACAATTGGTGCGGCAAGAAGGCCAGGAAACCAAGTCAGACTGCTGATCCATCAAGCTCAGTATTGTCTGCACTGACTGGCAGCCTTTTTCTGGGGTTTCACACCAGGGACTTTCCCAGACTTACCTGGAGACATACAAGATAAAATCTGGGGACTTGGGCATGCCAAGCAAGTGCTCTACCACTGAGCTTAACGACCAGGCTCCCGTCAGTGGCAGTGCATCCCCGTGCTGCTTGCTGCTTGCTTTCGTGTTTCGAAGAGGTTCTTGCATGAGCAGCCGAGCTGAAAGGACAGTTTTTGCAAACAGGCAGTTGTGATGAAATCTGGTCGTATGTTGCAGACCTATTTCAGGTGACGTTGTGGGCATCTCAAGCTCTTTGCCTACCAGGTAGAACTGAACATTTCAGCTGAACCGGGTCACCATCCCTAGTTCTCCCCCCTCAATTTTTTTTACTTGTGGTTCCCCTAAGTCAGTTGATACTTCCCTCTTGTGTTTGGGTGGTGCTGTTTTGGATATTGAAGCAGTGGCAGTTGTAGTTTGAGCACCTGGATTAGAGGGGATTTTGATGATGGTACAGTAGGCCTTTAGTTCAATTTTTTAAATTAAGAGGCTTTATGGCCTCCTATGATTGGATGTAAGGAAGTACTTCCTGACAGTTAGGACCCCTAGGATATGGAATAGGCTTCCAAGGGAGGTGGTTGAGGCCACATCAATGAGGGTGTTCAAGGAAAGATTGGACAACCACATGTCGGGGATTGCAAGAGTGGAGCAGGCTGGGTCAAACTAGACAGCCCAGGAGGCCCCTTCTGACTTGTCTTGTTTCTGTGTTCATCCTGCAGTGCTAGAATACAGCAAAAGTGAAATTTTGCTGCCTCGAGATGTGATGCTGTTGGTTCAGGCGACTTTAAAATGGGATTAAGCAGGTTCAGCTATTGGCCACAATCGCTAATTAGATCCTTTCTGTTCAAAGTTGATAAGAAATGGAGCGAGACCACAGCATGTTAGGCCTGTGACCTACAAGCCAGACTTGTTGTCCTCTGAAGGCCTCTTGTTAGCTGTTGTTCAAAAGAGGGTGTTGGCTTGGATGGATTGTTGGTCTGATCCAGGAGAGCTCATTTTCTGAAGATGCCACATCCTCTGGGTGATGCTGGGTTGCAGTTTCTATAGAATCTTTTTGACTTCACAGCCCACACTGCCTCCCATTCCTCCCCTTCTTTTTTTACATTGGGCTCCATTTTCTACATCTTCATTTTCCGCATTGGTTGGTTATTAATTGTTCTTTGTTGTCCATTTATGAATTAGGCTGCCAGGGCTGCAGAGGGAGAAGCCAAACACAAGTTCTTCAACCAGGATATGAATAGCATCTTACTTGAGTAAGTCCCCTTTTCAAATGCACCACCTAAGTCCTGTAAGTTCGGGGGAGGGGGGGAAGGAGAATTAAGGCTCAGTAAAGTGTCAGATCTGGAGTTGTTTATGACCCTGCATGCAGTATGGTAGATAAATCCCATCTTTGTGGCATCCCCTTACTGGGATTTTGAAGCTGCCCCAGGTGGCAGCTTCAGCCTCCAGAAAGGTGTGAATACAATCTTTCTATTGGCCAAAGCTATGCAGGTCTCCAAATCTTAACTGATTTGGAATAGGGTTCCCTTGATCCTTGTGGCAGGCAGGCAATTTGTAGAATTTTTACAGTTACGCTTATTTTTTGACCAGTTGTGTGCATCCTCACAACTTGAGGCACCATCATGGCTATGGAGTGTAGGACATAAGAGTGATTTTCTCCTCTCTCTGCACCAGCAGTATGAGACATCACCCCAAAGAAAGGTAGCAAGGATGATTGAAGTTGGATTTCTTGGCACTTCAGGCAGAGAAATCCCAAAAGCATTACCAGTGTTGGGGACCAGCAGTCCTGTCCCTACCTCTTGAATTATAGGAAGAAGCCACAAGGATAGTATTAACTGGGCTGTCCTGCAGTTGTCAAGAGTGTGTCTGGCAATATTTGGGAGGTGAGGGGTGGCAGTGAAGGAAAAGAGGAAAATATGTAAAGCTATTTTGAATGTTGATTTATTTATTTATACTTCCATTTATATGCCACCTACTACTGAAGTCTCAAGTTGGCTTACAATAAAAGATAAAAATACATATAACAACAAATGTTAAGAGTGAAGATAAGCACCTTGTTCTGTACGCTGCAAAAATTTAGCAAGCATTATTTTATACATTAATAAGATACAGTGGTACCTTGACTCACAAACTTAATCTGTTCCACGACTCTGGTCGTGACCCAAATTGGTTGTGAGCCAGGTCAAATTTCCCCATAAGGTTCAATGTAAATAAGGTTAATCCGTTCTGTAACTATTTTATTTTACTCACAAAAATTTGAAGCCAAGTGACAAAGAGCAACAAAGATTGCGGTGATTGTGCTCAGGGGTAGGGGGAGATGGGCACAAGTGCGGGTGCACTAAGGGGGAGACGGGTGCGATCGTGGCCATCTCCCCCCCCCCCCCAGCAGCATGACTGTGATTGTGCCTGCCTTCCCTGCACGGGTGCAATCACAGTTGTCACCCGATGTGGAGTTTGCAAGCTGCGGCAAATTTTTTATGAAATTTCTGTTCACGACAAGGGATCTCTCCAGACTGGGAGCATGGGCATCAAAATGGCCAATGCAGTTCCATGTGTAAAGTTCAAGTGTAAACTAATGCATGTTGGGGCAAAAAACACCCCAGCTTCAAATATACACTGATGGGATCTGAGCTAGCAGTGAGTGAGCAAGAACAGGAATTTATTTATTTGCCACATTAGAGAGAGAGAGAGAGAGAGAGAGAGAGAGAGAGAGAGATGTTTAGTTGCAAAGTCATATGCAACCCCATGGGCAACATTTCTCCAGGCACTCCTGTCCTCCACCATCCCTCAGAGTCCACCCAGCCCCATACCCACCACCCCACCTCAACCTCTGCTGTCCCCTTCTCCTTTTGCCACCAAACGTTCCCAGCATCAGGGGCTTTTCCAGTAAGTCCTTCCTTCTCATTAGATGTCCAAAGTATTTCAGCTTCAGCTTCAGTATACAAATACAAGTAAATAATAACAAACCATAAAACAGAATTAAAATACAATATAAATACAACCATATAAATAGGAACAGGAGGAAAATAAGCACAATATAATAATGGCAACCAATAAAAGAATAAACCAACAGCAAACTGATAATCCAATCTAAAAACAGATTCTAAATTCAAAAAGTCTTGTCTTGGCACCAAAAGCCAGATAAAGTGGGTGCCAGTCACACCTCCCTTGGAAGAGAATTCCAAAAGTGAGGTGTGGCGACCGGGAATCCCCTTTTCCTCCCCAGTTCCCCCTTCCCCTCATCGGGGGGTGGGGTCATGAAGGAGGGCTTCCATTGATGACCTGAGTGGTCTAGCAGGGGTACATGGAGACATGCATTCCTTTAGATATCCTGGTCTCAAGCCATTTAAGGCCTTATATGTTAATGTGAGCACCTTGGATTGGCCCGGGCAATGCCAGGCAGCCAATGCAATGACTTGGGGTAGTAGTGAACAAATGGAAATGTGGATCCAGTGCATGGGCTGCTGTGAAAAAGGAAAACTTCATGCTAGGCTTAATTTGGAACGGAATAGAGCATCTTACTGCCAAAGTCTTACTCCCCTTATACAAATCTTTGGTACAACCTCACTTGGAATATTGAGTTCAGTTCTTTTTGTCTTTCCTAAAAAAGGACATTGTTCAGTTAGGAAAAAGTACATAGAGGGGCGAGGAGGGCGGTCAGGGGGCTGTGAGGAGTGACTCCATCATCTGGGACTGGTCTAGCTTAGAAAAAAGGCAAGAAAGGGGAGGCATGAAAGAGATGCCTAAAATAATGCACGGAGAGGAGAGAGTGGAGAAGGAGACATTTCCGCCCTTGAGTGCAGGGTCATGCCGTGAAGCCGATTGATGGGAGGTTTGGGACAGATCGGAGGAAATAGCTTTTCAGCCAGGCGTGATTGAACCGTTGACTTCGCTGCCACAGGAAGTGGGGATGGCCCCCAGTGTGGACAGCTTTAACAGGGGACTGGGCAGATGCTCAGTGGCCGTGGGCCGCTTCCTCCCCCAGAGGGGGCACGCCTGCTTGCACCGCTGGCTGAGGGACTGGGGCTGGCAGAGATCCTGCCCCCAGGCTGCCTGGCAGCTGGCTTGCCATTGTGCGGACCTAGTGCTGGACTAGATGGACCTCTGGTCTAATCCAGCATGGCTGTTCTCGTGTTCCTTTACATTCCCCTGCCTTTGAAAATAGAGCTTTGGGGCGTTTTGCTACAAAAGTCCGCCACTCGAGCTACCACTCTGGGAATGCTAACGTTGCTTCTTTTGTCAAGCTGTGCAACTAGACTTTTTGTGAAGGCGAGTACGATGTATTGTTCCCTTTGTCATAACCTATGGAATTTCCATCTGTTCTCACTGTATGGACAATATAGAGAGGAGCTTGCAAGGAATCTGCAGGTCTGTCAGCTTGCCTGTTTGATAAGGCATCAAAAAACTTCTATTTGTATACATTTTTATTTGGATTCGTTTTTGACTGCTGAAAACACCAGTTTGTGCTTGCAGTCACTGTTTGCCGTTCCTTTTAGAATATTTCTTGCATTATCTTTCTTTGGCTTCTTTAACATCCTTAATTTGTGAAAGGTTTTATAATATTTTGCTTGGGTTTTCTCATTCTGATATCAAAGAGTGACCTGATTCATATTTTGAGAAGCCAAACTAGATCAGAACTAAATCATTATACCCCCTCTATTTTGTTTTCCTTTTGCCTTCAGCATAGAGCTGCAAACTCGGGAGCTGAACAGCCAAATCCGATCAGGGGTATACACTCATCTAGCCTCCTTCCTTCCTTGCAGCAAAGACACTCTGGTCAAACGTGCCCGCAGGCTTTACCTCTATGAGCAGGTGGGTGATCATGGAAGTATCGTGTCACTGGTCAGCACAGGTATAATGATACCCGGCTTAGCAAGAAGTGTCCCAGAGTGGGGGGTGGGAATCCAAGCAACTCTTTCTGGGTTTAATGACTACTCAGTGTTACAGGAACTTCTGCCTCTGGATTTTAACGTTTTTGCTGTTTCTACGATAGAAGGAAAAAAGTAATTGGAGCATTTTTCTACATGAGGGCTGGCATAGATCTCCATTTACAGAGGGAAACAGATTCTTTTTGGGGGAAATGAAATTTGAAGCATTTTAAATAGTTCCATAGAGTTCAAAGTAATTCACAGCCCACATATGTAAAATGTTGTAGAAAGAGTAAGTAAAGCAGCTACAGATTAAAACAGGAAAAGACTCAGATTACCCAAATGCCTGCCAGAAGAGGAAAATATACTGAGGAGTTAGTTGTTCTGGGAAGAATTTTGGAGCTGTGTCTGAAAATACCCAAGTAACTGTTGCCAGCCTAACCTGCCGAAAAGCTGGATGGCAAGCAGTGCCTGATGGCTGGGACCACGTTTGCCGAGTGGACTTGCGTGGCGAGGGCAGTCCTTAAAGTAGGCAAAAACTGTTTTCCCCCCATCCTCAGCCCTTATATAAACTATCTGACCACCTGTATTGGTACAGAGTTGAACATGTAAACCATCTTGGGATTTTTTTTAATGAAGGACAGTACATAAAAATTCTAAATAAACAAACATAGTAAATGCAAGGTCCTTCTATAACTCTCTGTGCATTCTTCAGGGCGGTCGCCTGAAGGAGCCTCTTCAGAAACTACAGGATGCCATTGAGAGGGCAATGTCAGAACAGATGGCCAAATACCAGGAAGAATGCCAAGCACACACCCAGGCCAAGTTTGCCAAGTATGTGTGTCAACTCGTTTCTTGTCTGTATAGCCCCCCCCCCACCCCCCGTAGTTCTCCCTGCATATCCAAAGCTTATGCAAGACCCTGAGCCTAGACCCTAAGATGTTTAAGGCACTCATAACTCCAGATGAGTGCCTTAAATACCTCCCCTGCCTCTTCTACAATAGCCTTGCTAGATCCATTGTATGCTGAGCATATTAAGGCAGATGGCACATCTTGGAAGCAGGTTTGATGGCTGTGCCGCACTTCAGTGTTGCTCTCCTTTTCTCAGGATGTTGGAAGAGGAAAAAGACAAGGAGCAGAGAGATCGGATCTGCTCAGATGATGAAGAAGATGATGATAAAGGAGGGAAGCGGATCATGGGACCCCGGAAGAAGTTTCAGTGGAATGATGAAATCAGGTTTGCAGAGGCAGAGGAACTGGCTGGGTTTTAGAGCCCTTTTCCCTGACTTCAGGGTAGCCCAAGCCCCTTTGGAAATCCCTTTGCTCCTGCCATTTTGGGCACTGCATACAGTTTAGTCTTTTTCAGGATTGATTCAAAGGGTTGAGGGCTAAGGTCTAAATTAGTGCAGGAGTCTTCAACAGATTGTAGGCTTGCTCATCTGTAATGGTAGCAAATTGTGGTTTCATTAACCAGCAGTTGACCTAGAATTAGTTCTTAGGTTAACTGTGGGTTGTTTAATCTATGATTAACCCATAGTACCCAGGTTCACACACCCTGAAATAACCTCCAGACAGTGGTTGTATATTCAAAATGGCGATGGCACAAGTCACTGGCAAATTGTGGTTCAATCAACCCATAGTTCGCTTCCAGCATGTTAATCTGCATGTTTTGAAACTGAGTCCTTAGCTGCAAATACACACTAATTCCACTTGAAATTTATAAAGAAACCCAGGTGTCTAACATCAAGAAAATTAACACATAATGTATAAGCAACCCCTCAGATTCTACGTCTCCCCACAAACCCTCTCCACATTCTATCAAAACAAAGAATGCAGAATGGCCTGACAGATAATAAACTGGTCAGGAAACACACCAACTCGCTTGATTCTTCTTGGTCCCTGATGGCTTCTGAGATCCTCAACCAGCATGGTGGGTTGAGAGTGATGGGGATATGGTGGTTTCACTCTGGCGTGCGTGTCTGGTTTTAGAAGATAGTCTTGGCAGACTTCTGCTCATCCACCTGGCATTTGAGTTGAGGGATCCTGCAATGTTCAGTCCTCTTTCCCCATGCTTTTAACATCTATATAAAGCTTCTGGGTGAGGATGTGGAATGAGGTGTTATCAATATACACAGTTTCATCTGAACCAGGTGAGAGTGCAGACAGGTATTGAGCCACTGACTAAACTTAGCCCTGTGATGGCCGGGGGCCCATCAACTGAAGGTAGCTCTTGCTAGGTTGGGCGTACTGGGGGAATTGGTGCCTAGGTCTAGGAAACTGGTTTTCCACCAATGTTGAATGGGGTTGCACTCCCCTTGAGGGCTCTAGCTTGCACTTTGGGGTGCTCCTTGATCAACATACTAGAAACCTAAATGATGTGGAGCTGCTCACACTAATTTTGGCTAGTCTGCTAGCTCTGGCCTGCCCTCCATGATCTATGCTCTGGGAGCCTCCAGGTTGGATTCCTGGGGCTGTCCTTGAAATTGGTACAGCAGCTTCAGTTCATTCAGAATTCAGCAGCTAGAATTCTGACTAGTTGACCTAGATGGAGGCTTGTCACATCACTTAGGGCATTGCTTTCCTGTTTTCTGTTTGCCACTGATCCAAATTCAAGGTGCTGGTTATCACTTCCAGAGCCCTAAATGGCTTGGGGCCTAAATGGCTGAAGGTGTGCTTTCCCCCACATTATCTTGCCAATGCATTAAGATCTTTAGAGGAGGCCCTTCTTCAAGTACTATCAATGGAAGAAATGCATTATGCAATAACCAAAGAAAGAGCTTTCTCTGTGACGGTATCACAGAAACAGAGCAAGTCAGAAGGGGTCTCCCGGGCCATCTAGTCTGACCCCTGGCTCCACTCATGACATGCCTACCATGTCATGACTTTAGATGCATAGGATAGTAGGGTTGGAAGGGTCCAAGGAGGCCATCAGGTCGATTCCCTTGCTGGTGCAGAATGCCAAGTCAGCATCCTGCTTGTTTCTGAATGTCTCCAGTTTGGGAGAGCCCATGATCTCTCCAGGCAACTGGTTCCACTGCCATATTGCTCTGGTAAGATTGGTACCAACCTTGCTGTCTTTTCAGCACCACCTCAAAACATTCACATTTTTTCTTGGTCATTTAATTTAAAGAAAAATGGATGTGCATGTGTGTTGGCTAAACAGTTCTGTGCCTCTTTTAATTGTTGCAATTATATTTTGTTCTTAACTCTTATGGATGAAGAGAGGCTTGCAATTTTTAAAAAGTTAAATGAAGAAAATACCAGGTTCTTAACATAATAAAAGAGGAGGGGGTAGATACAATCCCATCTGCAGCTGCAGTAGACTGTTTTTCTAACTTCAGCAGTTTATGCAAAAAGTCAGGTCTTTTCCAGGCATTAGAAGGCACCAGCTGATAGGGCCCGAGGAAGTCATTTTGTAAGGCTTGTGCTACACATGAAAAGGTTGTGGTGCTTGTGGTCTTCTCCTGTACCAACTATTGGATTCAAATGGAGTTAGAGGTCCTAGATCATGCCAGGTTAGAGCAGATGTTGTCTGGTTCAGGACGATGAACAATCGCATCCCAAACCTGAGGTCAGGTTTAAAATATCCTTCCAAATGAGTTGCACATGGTGCCGTGAGGGAGCAGGTGGATTTTGATAGCCTGATCAGGGACCTTTCTCTCTCCAGGGATTTGCTCTGTCAGGGAGTGAAGATCAAACTGGATGGATATGACCTTGAAAAGAACAAGGCCCAGCCAATGGAGGATTATGTGAAGACCTTCCTAGATGCAGAAGTCAAACCTCTTTGGCCCAAGGGCTGGATGCAGGCCAGGTGAGAGGGAACAAGGGTGAGAAGTAACTGCACCATCCCATCTAAAGAATTTCAGAGATCAGGCGTGTTTATTTTATTTATGTATTTGTTTGGCATGTATGCTGCCCCATTAGCCATTCGCTCTCTGGGCATCTCACAACATATTAAACAGCATTTTAACAACAATTAAAACAGTACAGTTCATTCATTTGTAATACATTAACAAGTCACAGTATAAAACCAACCAATAAAATCAACAAATAAAAATGACATAAACAGTAAAATAAAGCAAAATAAACCAAAGTAAGATAAAATGAGATTGAAAGGGTCCTAAAACTAAATGATTGATATATCAAACCATTTAAAATGACCTTCATGAAGGTGGATAAAATTTTACATAATAAGAAAACCATCTGGCACTAAAATCATAGGGTGGCCACAGCAGAATGGAATGGAAGGACTATTTAGGTGCTAGTGGGGAATGGCAGTATAAAGCTTTTAATAATGAGACTCTGACTGTGACTGGAAGTAAAGCATGCTGGCCCCAGAGCTGACAATCATCTGGATGTGAAACGCTAAAGAAGATAAGCCCCGGATTCTCCACTCTGGGGCAGGTGAGGGAGGTTACACAAGTGTGAGTAGTGACCTCAAGACCGAGGACATCTCTGTCTTTCTGAGGGTATCCTAGCAGGTCTTGCCACTGGTTCAGTTTCTGCAGAAAGGCAGTATGAAGAGGAGCAGAATGCTTCCTGTTGGCTCTCCTGCTGCTCAAATTGTTACGGTCTTTCATTTGTGTACATAAAGCAAGGTGAGAAATGCCTCCTGTATGTTCTCATGGCTTTTCTTTTCATCCATGAGGTCTAGAAACTTGGCTTTATTTTAAGACTAGAAGCCTGTGATTTTCAGGATTCAGGTAGAGGCACCAGGCCCTTGCATTTTGAAAGACTCCTTCCCGACCCTTGAACATCTGAGTCTAGCTCCAGCTGACAGGTCTGGCAGTGCTGTTCACTCTGTCTCCTTTTTCAGGACACTGTTTAAGGAGAGCAGGCGCGTGCACGGTCACCTCACCTCCATCCCGTGAGTATCTGTCACGCTCTTTAGCCTCTGGGTGCGCTTGGCTGTTCCGTACGTGGAGTTGCTCCCCTGTGCAGGGGCTGCCTGTGGCCCAGGTGCTAGTAGCCTTCCCCTGCAAACAATGCTGCAAAAGTAGCCACACTGAGAACACCCAGGCAATGTTTCAGGGTTAAAACGATGCGCTATGCACGCTGAACATCTGCCACATCACACCACAGCCCTAGTGACGTCTCTGTTAACCACATGACAAATGGGCCATTCGGTCTGCTGCTGTCTGCTTTGGCTGTTCCGAGAGGCCCCGGGCAGAGGTCTTTTCCAGCTCTGCCTCCTGATATGTTCCAGTTTTTTAACTGGAATTGCCAACTGTCGCTTCTGGGACTCTCTGCATGCAAAGAAGGTGCTCTGCCTCTGAGCCATGACCCTTCTTTCTATATGTGCTCTCCTACACCGTGCTCCCAAAGGCTCTTCGCCATCCAGGCTCTTACCTGGTTATGATTGTCTTGGGACCTGTTCTGAATCCTCTAGCTACCAGTCCCTGGCAAGTTTCATCACCCTACCTGAAAGGCTAGCCTGAACCCCAACCCTGACCCAGTACGAAGGATGTATCCAGGATGAGCTGTCTCTGCTCACCAGCCGGGAGAAGGCAGGGAACATGTGACTCAGATGTTTTCCTTGGTCTGTGCTTCCAGGGCTCCACCCTTTCCATTTGTTCCCTGCCTTTGTTCAGGACAGAGCTTATGTCTTTGTCACAGCTCTCCTGAGGCATCACGCTATACATTTTTTGCCATTAAAATAATGTTGCTTGAAACCGTTCCAAGAAATTATTTTCCCCCTCCTGCTTATTTCCCATTTGCTGTTCTGTCACTGAGATGGAACTGGGAAGGAGGAACCACTCAAGCCAACCCAAGGAAGTGATCTTGCTCCCATGTTCCCTGCCTTTTCCTGGGCGGTGGGAGGAGATATCCCTTCACATATGTGTCCTGCATGGAGCTTCACAATAAGTGGTGAGCGTTTCATTTTGGACCTCCTGGAAGTAAAACAAGTCCCTCTCTTGCTTATGTCCTCATGCAGAGCAAAGAAGAAAGTCATGGCACCTCCAAAGGCGAAGGGAAAGGTAAGTCATTTGACCCGGGTGCTTAAATGTCAGTCGCCCCGGTGACATCTAGCAGAAGCAATGAGCATCCAGAGAGGGTTCAGTTGCCCCTTCTGTGTATCAAAATGCCTCTCCAGGCCTGCATCTATTATTTGTGTAGAATGTTCTCACTGAACACAGTGCTTTCCAGGTTTTGTTTTTCAGATTGGACTCAAATCCAAGTAGGTTGTTGTCCTGAGGACCTTGCACTCTAAGCTTAGATGATGGTTGAGGGATGATGACAAAAACAGGGGACGAGGGCAGAAACCAGAGTAAACCAGCACCAAATGGTGGAGCACTAAATTACTCCTTCGTGGCACTTTTGGTTCTCTAGGCATTCAGGAAGCTCAGTTTTAGGGAAAAGAGTGTGTTTTGAAGAGTTGCTGGATTAACTGAGCTGAAGTGAGTTTTGTGAAGCTATAGAAACTACTTGGCTTTGGAGCATTAAGCACTGGAGCTGCATGAAGTAGAATATTCTGAGAAATCATATGTTATGCTGAATGCAAAGCTCTCTCAAAAGACCCAAACTTTCATTTCTATCCTAATGTTGCCCCTTTTTCAATTAAAACAAAACTCTTAACTCAAAATGTTAAAAGTTGTACAGATGACTGTGCCGTTTGATTTTGTGGTCTTATGTTGTGTATTGTACACTTTAAAAATAGGGTTGGTTGTGTATATTTGCCTAACTATCTGCATCTGCTAGTCTTGCAAAGAAGCATGGAACCATGTATGGAAAACCATCCTAAAACCATCAAAATCCCATCATAGATTTTGAGGCCGCAGGTTCATTTTCAAACCTCACCTTGATAGTGGTTTCCTTTTTAAACGACTGCTGAATTGTTTGCTAAGTACCCAGTTGTGCATCTGTGTAGAATCCACATAGCCTGTTTCAGAGCCTTTGAATGGTTAATATTCTTTGACTTAAAAGACACTGCAATTTACTGGACAATTTCTAAATGTATAACCATCTTATCTCCCTTGCACTTTCCTCCAGGAGCCCTCTAATAAACAGGATAAAAAGATGCCCCATCCAGCCCCACTGATTCATGCGAGTGGCGCCATCTCACTTTCTCCAGAGAGGCAGGGAGTTGCTGTTGGTCTCAGCCCTCAAACCAGGGAACTCTTGGCCATGAGCTCGACTCCGGTCCCCAATAGCACAGCCACTCCAGCCTCCTTCAGTATGGATGACTCTCTGGATGAGGACTTGATCCATAATGCCACTTCGTCTTTGGAAGCAGTCTCCAAGGAACTAGCTGTACTTAACAGTCGGACGGGGGGAAGTCCTGATTTTACCCTTCCTGTGACCCCAAAGGCACCATCAGAAAAGCCCCTGATCCAGGTGACATTGGAAGAGAAGCGGATCTTCCCCAGGCCGAGTCCTTCACCTTCCCCATCTCCTGCTGGTGGTTCCTTGCAGTCACCCCTCAACTTCCTGGCTGAACAGGCCTTGGCGCTCGGGCACTCCCCGCAAGACAAAAAGCCTGAGGGCTCCAGCTACAAAGACCTTTCCTGCCAGGTTTCCCCTGCTAAGCTTTTGGAGGCCCACCAGTCCAAGCCGAAGCATCATGGCTTGCCGCGCACCATTCATGGGCTCCAGACAGCAGCTCCAGCACCAACACCGCAGGTGAAGGTATTTCCCATGAGTGCTCAGCAGCCGAAAAGCTTCCCCCCTTCTCCTCCCTTTGTCAAGCTGCAGTCCCCCAAGACTGCCTCACCATTGCCCCAGCGGCCTCTGCTCCAGCAGTCAGTCAAGACCGCCACCAAAACACCAAGCTTTCATTCCTGCTCGTCGTCCTCATCATCGACTCCCTCACCAGGGTCCAGCAGCTCCCACAAGCTGCCAAATTCCTCCTCTGTATCCCTAGGCTATGCAGGGAAGCACCCTAGCAGCAGCACCACCTCGGGACAATCTTTCAAGTCACCCTTCGTGGCCCTGTCCAGGCACGTGGCTTCTACCAGTGGCTCCACAGCCAGCATTTCTACGAACCAGAGTCCCTCTTCAAGCAATCTGCTCCCAGGCTCATCTCTTTCTACTCCTGGGCAAGCTGCCAATCGCTCATCACCAAGTTCCACAGTGAAGAAAACTCTGGTCCCCCAGAAGCTGACGTTGGTAGCTCCACCGGGGGGACCAAACGTCAGTTCAAGTGGAGGAACACAAGGGGTAGCCAAATTGCTGACTTCTTCCCTGAAGCCGACAGTGGCGAGCCACACAGCTGCCTCTGCTTCTGTGCCAGTGAGTGGCCCTTCAGAAAGGGAGGTGACCTTTTTGGAATGTGACTTCATGGGTTGGAAGCAGCTTGGTGCGAGGACTTGTCCCCTTTTGCCTGTGCTAGGCAGCCCCACGCAGCAAGGGTGCGGAACGCCTTTCAGCCCATGGGCCAAATTTTGTTTTGAAGTTTTTGAGTGGGCAATATTCTCGTGTATGGAGCTGAAGGTAGAGGGGCTTGGGAACAAAGCCACCCATATAGTTTAGCTCAAACCCCTCCCAACCAGTAGTCGAGCCTTAGAAGAGGCATTTCAGTCTTTCAGAAATGGCTTGGAGGGACTGTGCAAAAGTTGGGAGAGCCCCAAGCTAGGAGTTGGCAGAAAGGACCTGGGGCCTTTTCAGAACCTCCTGTGGGCGGGATTTGGCCCTGGAGGACCAGATTTGAGCCTCATTCTGCAGTTCTGCACCAGTGCTGGATAACAACATAGGGCATACAGCACCAGGTCTGTCCAGCTCAGTGTTGCTTGCTCCAGCCTCCTATAACTGGGGCTGTGCTGTCTGGGGGTTATGGGACTTGCAGTCCAAGGTGGCAGATCAGGAAGACTGCCCCCCTCTGAAAGCAGCTGACTGCTGTCGGGCAGGTGCGCAGTCCTTTCAAATAGAAATGATGCGGGTGAACCTGGGATCCATTGCATGTGAAACGTGCACTTTCTGCTTGCTGTTTGCTCCCCTGCTGCTGTCTAAATCCTCCCTGCATGTGTGTTCTCAGATTTCCCTCTGTGGCTCGTGCAGTGTAAGCCTGCTGCTGCTCTCGCCCTAAGCTTGGGTCCCGCTTCACACAGGGTGAATGTCGCAAGGCTCTGGCCGGGCCGGAGTCTCTAGTGCTGCTCTCAGGGACCCGCATGGTGCAGCATTCGATAGAAGAAATCACCTTCTGGGTGATTATCTTGGCTTTCTTGCCATTTGGAGGGCGCAAGCATCTAGCCCTTGAGACTGCAAAGACACAAGCAGGCAGTTCTTCGAAAAAGGAGCCAGGAGCCAGCTAAACTTGAGTGCCTTGCATGTCACCTTGCCTCCCCACATTGTGCTGAGCAATGTTAAATTAAGTATGCAAAATAAAGCCAATTTGCATCCTATGCATATTGTAAAAAAAGCTCCTAGAGCAGAGATTTCTTTGGACTCAGAAAGGACCAACATCATGTGCCTAGTAAATATAGCCTTATTTTTACTCTCGCCCGGTATAAGTGTGGAACTAAATAATGAAGCACCAAAATGTTCCAGGTGAAATCTTGTTGCAACTGCCACCATTTGTTTTAATTAGTGGTCAGGAGTCATTTGCTCAGTGATTTCTAGAGGTGGGGGAGGGTGAGCCTTGGTTGCTGGGGGGTGCGGAGCCCGCTGGCCTTTGCTGCCGTGTTGCAGGGCCCCGGCATTGCGCTGCCATCCTGAGTAGTTTTTTTTCTCTCCCCTTCCCAGAAAGGAGCCAGTGGAGCAGTGCTGCTGACCAGTTCCTCCTCCCTGAACGTCCTTTCTCCTCCCTACAAGTCCAGCAACCCAAAGCTGCCTGCCGCCCTCAGCTCTGCGCCGCTGGGGATCTTATCGCCCATCCACTCTTTCCCTCTCCATGTGATTTCCTTCAGCTCTGACTCTGCCCCCAAGACGGGGGTGTCAAAGGATGCCATTGTCACAGGACCCGCCCCGGGGACTTTCCACCACGGCCTTGGCCACAGTAAGTCTTTGTGGGAGAGAAGGAGCCGCGGGCCGTCTTTCACCATGCCGCTGCTCAGACCTCGACAATAGTGTTTCTGTCCATGCCAAGAGTGACCCAGATGTCTGGCCTCAGGCTGCTGCCAGGGTAGATTCAGGTGGCCTCCTCCTGTTCTCCCTTGGCACCCACTGCCACCATAGGCTTTGGCTTGTTTGCAGCAGCTGCCTTCCTGGAACTCCAGCACAGCAAAAGCTGCTTCACACCCAGTTGGCATGAGCAGCCCATTCTAGCAGGCAGTTGCTGGAAGCGTCGGAAACAACAAAGCCCTGGGCTGCTCAGGAAGGCTCCGGGGTCGTGACTCCCACGCCCGCTACAGGATCTCGCAGAAGCATCTCCTCCCCACACAGGCCTGCATGTCCTTTCTCCCCCGTGGGTACCCCCCATTCATTTACAAAGGGGAAGGGGTGGTTTAGTCAGGGGAAGCCTCTTGCAGGGGAGACCTCATAACTGCCACATCAATGGCAGTGTGGTCTGGGCACTGTTGTCGAAGGCCTGGCCACTGCCTGGCCGGATGCCATCATGGGACTGTCACTGGGCTGCTGGAGCACAGTTACGAGTGTTGGAGTCACCCAGTTTTAGCAGTGTTGCCTGGCTGCCTTAGCTGAACTGTGCTGCCTTGACCAGCAAACCATGAAATGGACTGGGGCCAGGGTACCAGAAGGCTCATCTGCCTCCATGTAGACACACTTTTGAGGAGAGGAACCTTGAGGCATTTGTCAGTGGGTCAGTTCAGGCCACTCCCACTGAAGCCGGTAGAGAGAACTCCCTTTCATTTTGGCTGCTGCTCCCTTTAATGGGTTTTAAGTGCCAAGGAGGAGCTGCTCTGCCTGCCCAGGAATGCAGTGTCTCTGGATATGATCAGCTCTCTGAATTGGAGGCTCCTGGTCTTGGCTGCCTGTCTTCCTGCTGCAGTGTTTTTCAACATACGCTGGGAGTCAGCTTGGGAACTGTGCCTGAAATGTGGAATATCTTTTATAAAATAAAGGCAGCCTCTACCTGCATCATGTCAGCAAGTCTTGGCTTGAGCTGACGCTCCTCAGATAAACTAGTTCTACTTCATTGTTGACTGCAGAAACTGACATGCCTGGTAGGAGGAAAGTTGGAATGGGCAGAGGGTGGACAAGGAACAAAGCTGTATCTCCCTCACCAGAGGCTTTCTGCTGCTGCTTCAGTGCACACCTATTCCTCCTCCCTGTTCTAGGCCCTCTGGCTGGCAGTGTGTCTCTCCCATTCTGCGCTGCCTGCCCATTTATTGCACGGTTTGCCGGGTAGCCCCTCTGCGGTTCTGGTTTGTCTGGCGCTTTCTGAGCCACCCAGCAGGTACCTGCTGTTTTGCAGCCAGCAATCTGCCACCTTTGCCACGGGCTGCACTTATAAAGCCTCTTGGGGCTGCCCCATTTTTCTGTAAAGGCTGAAGCAGAGGCATCGCCCAGCGTGCTGCAGACCTGAACCACAGTGACAGCATCCTTTTCTTCCCTTGGAGCCTGGCTGCTGTTCTCATGGGGCCAGCCCTGCATCGCAGTTTCCCGATAGAGGATTTCCCTTGGGTTGCTTCCTTGCTCTGAAACGCACGGGATGTGCGGTGCCCCCATGAGGGCCCTGTGTGCGCAGTGGCCTCCACGGCCTGGTCTGAGAAGCCTGGGGTGCTCCTACCTGTGCAGGTGGTTCTTGGCAGCAGCTGTGACCCTCAGCCCCCTTGAGAGAAGTGCCTGAGGAATGAGTTCCGGTGGGGAACTTTATAGCATAAGGCTGTTTTTCCAGCTGCTGTACACTGCCAAACTTCTTGGCATGGCAACTCGATGGCTTTTTGGCTGCCCGTTCATTTATTTTTCTGTTACGTTTAAAGCTTTTCTCTCCCACCCTGATGATGATTGCTCAGTCATTGCCAGTAGTCTGCTGCTGCCACTTTTTATTGATTAGGGTGCTTTTTAAAACTAATGTTTTCTCACGTTTTCAGCGGTTTACTTTGCTTCAGTCAGGAACACAGGAAACCTTAGATGGAGTCAGGCTGCTGATCCAGCTACTTCAATATTGCTTGCACAGATTGGCAGCACCTTGCCAGGATTTCAGGCAGGGCTCTTTCCCAGCCCTAATTGGGGCTGCTGGGGAATGGGAGGGGGGCCTTCTGTGCTCAGAGCATGTGCTGTCCCACTGAGCCCCAGCTATTTTACAAGATAGACAAGATAGAAATATTTTTAGTAAAAATAAGAGTGATCAGGATCAAGTACTATTACTAAACTTTATTCAGAAGGCTGATAAGCACAAAACTTGTCAGCTGACTTCTACCTAGTCCAGTGCTGGCCTGCAGGGACTGCTCACTCTGGTCTTTTTGATGAAGCCATCCTTTTATTTCCTCGGTTTACTCAGGTGAAGCATGCGTGAAAAGCTGGGCTTTGCCATAAAGGAATTCTTTAAGGAATTCTTCTCCAGAAGAAGTCCACCTCAGCACTTCCAAGGGTCATTCTCTGGAACTGCGCTTTTGAGGTCTCTTGGATGCCTGGCTTCTGAGTTAATTATGATGGGTCTGATGGGCTTATGGCCCACCTTTATGAGTGGGCCGTGAAGAAACCTGCTCTTGAAGACAGGCTTTGCTGCCTGGGGCTTGTGGGCTGACTCACACGTGTGTTCATCACAAGTCCACTGCTGCTTTGGGTGCGGAATTGCAAAGCATCGATGTCCTTATGCGCGGCTGCCGTGCCTTGGGCATGTGGCGCGCACGGAGCACACAGTCCTCAGCGGGGTGTACTACTTTCAGTGATGGGTGAGGAGGCCTTTTTTACTGCTCCCCCGTGTGAAACTTGGTTAGCAAATAACAAATACCAGCAATAATAAAAACCCCAGAGTGAATAATTAAATGATTAAAACAAATCGGGGATTGCGAGTGTAGCCTTATTGTTGCACTCGGTGTCTGTTTGTCCGGAGTTGTGTGTGGGGCAGGGCACAACAGCATTCAGTTTCCCTTCTGCCATTTGAAATAGTGCTGCTCACGCTCCCACCCCAGGACAGTCGTCAGCTCTTTCTGATGCATGTGTAGACAGACCTTCCTCTGCAAGCCACTGGGATTTGATCACTCAGGTGATGTACATTTATGAAGCAGCCCTGTGCACCAACCAGTGAGATCCAGAAGAATCTTAGGTGTACGTTGCTTGCTGACAGAACTCAGGATGAGGAGGAATTTGGATGGGGTGGGCTTAAGTCTTTGGGGCACACATTGACTTCGGTCCTGTAATTTCTTCCTCCTCTCTGCTACATTTCTACCTTTTCTTCTGCAAACTACCAATTGCTTAAAAGTGACCTGCTGTCCAGTGATGCAAGGGCCACCTAGCCAACCTGTTTGACTTCCATAAGCACAGAATGTGTGGCCCTTCAGATGTCATTTGACTGCAACTCCTGTTGTAGCTAAATGAGGCATGGTGGGGACAGCATGCGGAGGGGTGTTTCCCACCTGTGCTGGAGTCATTTAAAGAGCTGCTTTTGCTCCTAAGAATGTCAGTTTTTTCTGTACCAGCTGACATTTATTCCATCTGCAAATCTGCCTGTATTGGCATTATTTTGATAGATTATAGTTGCTAACTCATGGCTGTTTGGTAACTGCTTTTTTTGAAATTTCCACTTTGTTTGTTGCTTAGTTGCAGAGTTGTGCCTGACCCCTCACAACCCCATGGACAACATTCCTCCAGGCTCTCCTGTCCTCCACCATCCCTTGGAGTCCACCTAAGCTCACGCCAACTGCTTCCGTGACTCCATCCAGCCACCTCATCCTCTGCCGTCCCCTTCTTCTTTTGCCATCAATCGTTCTCAGCATTAAGGTCTTCTCCAGAGAGTCCTTCCTTCTCATGGGGTGGCCAAAGTATTTGAGTTTCGTCTTCAGTATCTGGCCTTCTAAAGAGCAGTCAGGGTTCATTTCCTTTAAGACTGACTGATTTGATCTCTTTGCAGTGCAAGGGGTCTTCTCCAGCACCACAATTCAAAGGCCTCAGTTCTTCGGCACTCAGCCTTCCTTATGGTATACCTTTCACAGCCATACATTGCAACCGGGAAAACCATAGCCTTGAGTATACGATCTGTCGGCAGGGTGATGTCTCTGCTTTTTAGTATGCTGTCTAGATTTGCCATAACTTTCCCCCAAGGAACAAGCATCTTTTAATTTCTTGACTACAGTCACCATCTGCGGTGATCCTGGAGCCCAGAAAAATAAAATCTGTCACTACCTCCATTTCTCCACCATCTATTTGCCAGGAAGTGATAGGATTGGATGCCATGAGCTTAGTTTTCTTAATGTTGAGTTTCAAGCCAACTTTTGTGCTCTCTTCTTTCACCTGCATCAAGAGGCTCTTTAGTTCCTCTTCACTTTCTGCCATTAGAGTGGTATTGTCTGCATATCTGATGGTGTTGACATTTCTCCCAGCAATCTTAATTCTGACTTGTGATTCCTCTAGTCTGGCCTTTCGCATGATGTGCTCTGCATGTAAGTTGAATAGGCAGGGGGAATTTCCACATAGAGGTATATTAATAGTACTTTCCCATGTCTTTCAGACACTTCTCAGCTCCATGGAAAAGGGTCCAATGTGCAGCCACGGAAGTTGTGACAGCTTTGAGAGAGGAAGCAACAAGCCCTGCAAGAAGACCAACGTAACGAAGTGGCAAATATCAGGTGCCCCCGCCCCTTGCTCTCTTGCTGTTGCTTTGATCCAGAGGCCCTTCCCCACCAGGAGCTTTCCAAGGGGATCTGTGCCTCACACTGGGAGAAGAAGCACTTAGAATGCCACAGATCTGCCTGCTGCTCTCGCATCACTGCTCCATGCACCAGAGTAGGGCAGGAGGAGCCAGGCAAGTCTCTAGTGCTGCGCACTTCAGTGGAAACCTCCTGCCAAGAGCCTCTGAATCCAGTTACCTCCTCCGTTCTGCAGTGGATTACAGAAAGGTGCTTGTTCCTGCTTAGCACTTACTTGACTGACGCAGGTTCAGCAAAGAGAGCAGCCCAGCCCCGTTTGTGTGCGTGTGGGAATCCCCCTCTCCCCCTAAAGGTACCTGTAATACACCTGGGCTGAAGTTTACTAGAAGATCCACCTTTCTCTGTGGCAGCTTTGTCAACGTCAATCAGCTCATTGGCCCTCTCAGAAGAAAGTGGACACTTGAGAGGCCTTGAAATGCACTCATGAACATTGAACTGAATTTGTGGTTTTTGTTTTGCTTCCCTGGTTTTTTTCTTTTGTTCCTACGTTCATTTCCCCCTTCCTGCTCCTCCCTGCCCTGCCATTACCACTGAACATATTGTATTGGACAGGACCCCCTTTTCTGCATGTCATTGTGTATAGCGAAGCCGTAATTCCAGTGCCTTTTTATGGTGGAGCAAGAGTACAAAACATTTCAAGCTCTTTGGTGTGAGCTCCCTTGAACTTTTAAAATTTGATTATCTTTTTAAAAATGTATCTGTACTTGAGATGCATTGGAATTTAAATCATGGGGTTGTAAACCCTACCCAGACTTCACCTGGTTAACAGGTCATGAGGCCAGGTTAAATCAATGACTAGAGTTTCCCCTAAAGCTGTTGCTTCTGAGCCATTGTTGAGCAAGTTTTCCGTAGGCAGGTGAGCATCCGGGATATCCCCCTTTGACCGAAGAGCCTTCACACATTTTAACAACATGGGAGTGTGGAGCTGGCACTCTGCGGCTACAGGCGTGGGGAGCCTTGCACACGTGAGCATGCCGTGCTTGCATCAAGGGCTCTGTGTGCACACGTTGCCAGCTGGGTGGGACCCATGCCCAGCTTTCCTTCAGCAGTCTTTTCTGTGCAGCAGAGGGGAAGTGGAGTACACCTTCATGGCAGAACTTGTGCCAATGACTTTCCCCGTGGATCCTGCCCAGTCTCTCCAAAGATGCTCAGTGGCAAAATTCTTTTGGCATCCGGGGAGTGATGCAGGCTAGCCAAGGCTGCTGAGATGGTTGTGCTTCAGAGCTGTCCTAAACACCTGCTACTTGGAGCAACTCTGCCTCGCTTCAAAGCGGTGTCTAGCAGCTAAGGGAGTTTGTGTGCTGGCCGGTGGCAGGGCACTAGTGTGGAGGGGCAAGTCCTTTCTTGCCTGACTTGTTGCCTCAAGCATACTGCTTCTCCTGCAGGGCAAAAGGGTGGGCAGGGCAACCTGTTTGTCTCAGTTATCCTGCTCTGCTGAAGCGCCCATGTGTGAGAAGGCAGCTTGCTGGAGTTGTTAAAAGGGGACAGGTCATGTGCCCATTGGCAGTCACTTTTTCTAAAGCCTGTGTAGTCCTTCCTTGCAAAACACATGCACACGCATGTATAGATGCACTTATATCCTTGAACATAAACTGGAAACTACCTGCCTAAATTTAGCACTGTTTCCAATCTTACCAAGCAGTGCTACCCCTCGCACCTCCCTCTTTCCTCTAAGGCTTCAGTTTGCTGATTCTTGCTCTGAAACAGAAAGCACTTGCTCCACAAAATAACCCGAAGTCTAAAGGAATTCTCAGTGAATTTTGTTTGGCTTATGACCTCCAAACCAAGTTTGAAAATCAATTCCTTGATATCGGTGTTCTTGATTCCAGATTAATATGGGCAAGAACATTCATCATTTGTACTTCTTTCTGAGAAAATGGATTGGAGAATTTAAGACTTATTTGCCCACAATCATCTTCACTTAAAAAAAGATCTTAAGTTATAGCAAAAGAGCCAAAGACCGAATTTTAAGGTTGCTGATTCTGAAGCACAGAATTTTTAATAAATGGGTGCTTTTCGTTTTGTGTTTTGGTCAGGCTCAATCCTGCTGTGTACTGGACACCTACTGAGAGATACTTTATCTCCATAGGAACTAGTGCTTGGCATTTGGCAGGATTCAGGCCTTGCCTGAGCTATTCATAATTCCCCTCTTGCTGCTCCCACTCCAGAGCTTCTCTTGCAGTGTATCTGTGCTTGCCGTAGCTGGAGGAGAAGCCCCCTTCTTTCTGAAAGAAATTTCAAGAAGCCTCTTGCCTCAGGGAATGATACATGGCAGAAATTCAGTGTGATTTCTTCCCTTCCTGCGTCCCCCTCCCCTTTTCCTTTGCATTTAAGAAGTAAGACAACCTAATGAGACAGCCATGGCAGGGCAAGATCTACCGGCTGGGGATTGTGACTAGGGCAGAGCACCAGAGGTCTCTCTGCCTTGGCTTAGACCATTTTGGGGGGCTTTGTTTACGGTGGGCACCTGCCTGCCAGATAGCACTTAAACTTAGAAAAGCAGTTTCTTTGTGTGCAGGAAGAGCTGCAATTTATTTTTGTGTGTGTTGGTGGGAGGGGGAAGGGGCCTTTCTAGGTAATGAGGAGGGTGCTGACATTAAAATGGATACTCTTGTATACAGCAACTGAATAAAATTGTTTTTCAGTTTCCAAAAATGCCATTTTCTTTTTTTCTGCAGAGGGGGGCCAGGGAGGGACCATAGCTCAAGTACCTGGGATCTCAAAGTAGAATAGACCAGGAGACAGTTCATGGAGAGACGTCCCTTCTCTGCTCAAGGCCCTGCAGAGCTGTTGCCAGGCAGAAGGTAATACTCTGAGAGTCACTGCATTCGGAGATGCAGAGTGCCTGGCATGCTTGAAACTGGGAGCACAGCGCGTCCGCGGCATGGCCGGTTATGTTGGAAAACAGTCCTATTTGCCTGCACTAAATTTTGTGCCAAGGGACAGTTGTTTTCTGTACTGCCTGATAGCTGAAGTTCTCTGGGCCATTTTAACAGCATATAAAAATACAATATAAAATAAAGCAAATTTGTGTATACTTAGCACCATATCCTGTTTCTGCTGGCACAGAGATGAAACAGACAGACCTCTGAAGCCTCACCTCCTTTCTCCTAGCTAATCCTACAGAGCTTCATTCTGGCTTTGGAGATCACCCCAAGCAATGACCTCAGGAAAACTTGGCAGCTTAGTTTGGGGTTAGGGTATTTTTGTTTTGCTTTCAAATGAAAGCTGCTGTTCTCAAGGAGCTGAATCCCACATTTGTCTGCATGTGCCTTCTCTGGCCTTTTGTGTGTAGTGGTATCCCCTGTGGATAACATTTATAGGAAGAAATGAAAACAAGTAAAAGGAAGAAGTACTCGGTATAGATCACTGCATTTTTATTTAGGGCATATAAATAAAATATCCCATTTCCTTCTACAACAAATACCTGCATACATACAAATATAAGTAAGCAAACCCCAGCACAAATATCTTTATAACTACAACTTAGGAAAGAAGGCACTTTGTGGGTCTGGTTACATTAGTATGCTCTGCTGATCCCCGATGCTTTTTAAGGAAAGGAGGAGATACTTACATAAGCATAACTTGGAAGAAAAAAAATATCCTTTCTAAAACATACACATGCATACAATTTTCCACCTCAATGGTCAAGAGCTCCTGAGCAATAGAATTACAGGACACATTCCTGTGGCATGTTCCTTAAATGCTGCTGAGACCCAGCGTCAAGTCTGCCTACATGCTAGTATCTGATTATATGGTGAAGAGTTGTATTGCGTTTAAGCACCTATACATTCAGTGATTGTTGCTTTTTGAAAAAATCTGTCAGACTGCTATCCCTGTCAGCTGCTGGCTCCTGGAGTGATCTAACTGGATAGTCCAGTCTTTGGTTGTCTTTTCCAGCCTTTAAATGCCTTCAGGGCAGAGCAGTTTTACAGCACTATTTATACAGCGCTTTAGAATGCTCAGATAATTTCACATACACTGAACCATCCGTACAACAGCCCTTTAAAGTAGCATAGCATTCCCATGCTGCAGATGTGAAGGGCAAAGGGTTACGAAAAAACAGGTTTTCCTGAATCTGTCTCATGAACTCAGCATTTAAGCTGAGATTTGGCTGGAATCTTCCTAGCTTTCAACTCCGATTCTTCACAACAGGGATCTTTTGGTGGAGACTGAAAGAACTTGCAATAACAAACAGAATATGTAGAGTGGTCATCTGCATCAAGGCTTTGCCTACTTTTTTCAGAGAGCATAAAGACATTTGTCACTGGTGGGGGCAGATAATATGCAACCTTGAGCAAAGGCACTGTTGGCCTTGAGTCAGGCAAGGCTTTTATGTTTTGGGTAAAAGCAAGCGAGTGCTGCTTGACAGCACCTTAGTGTTGAAAACAGGCACTTGCCTGTTGACCCATTGGCCCCATGGGAAGGAGCAGGCAGGAGAACTCTGCATGTGTAACAAGTAGTGCAGCTTTATACCAGCTGCGTAAGAATTGTTCTTTTAAAAAAAAAATCCCCTGTTCAAAGACAAAGCAGCTACTTTTGTCCAGACACCAGAACAGCCAGCTCCTGAATAGACATTTCCTTGTTGAGGTAACTGTCATACTGAGCTGTGCTTAACCTTCCACTCTTCAAGGCATCTTCAATGGAGAACTTCTTCCCTGACTTCCTGTCAAGGATGACTGAAGATTCTCCACTGGGCCCTTTTACGGTGATCTCCTCCCAGTCGCATTCTTGATTTTTCAACTTGACATACAAACTCCACTCAATGAGCCCAAACCTGTGAGCCTCTTCTGGAGACATTTCTTTCCCAGTGTCTGGATCAATGACCACAATGGAACGCCTCAAATGATTCTCTCTTTGCTCTCTCTTGATGGCCACTGTCTGGAGGCGGTTCTGAAGCTGTTCAATCTCACCATCTTTTTCACGAGATAACCTCTTAAGATCTTCAAGTTCCCTCTCCAAAGCCTGAAACCGGGAGTCCAGATTGGTACCACTGCCTGTCTGTGACATGTTCCTTATATCCCGGGCTTCTGTCTCAGTGAGTTCTATCTCTGACTGCAGCCTCCTCATCTCCAGCAGCAGGTTCTGCTTTTCTAGATGTAGCTTGTGGTTTTCTTCCCTCAAGAAGTCCAGTTCCTTGGATGACTTGGAGTTGTTGAACTCCACTTCTGATAGTTTAGCCTCCAGCCTGTTGATATCTGCATCCAGCTCCAGCTTCCGACGGCTTTCTTCCTCCAGGTTGTTCTTCAGCTTCTGAATCTCATATTCGGTGTCTCCTTTCTCTACTTGGACACTCTCTGAAAAGACAACTTTCTCCTTGACCTCCATCTTCTCCAGTGTCTGCAATTTCTTCCGCAAGGCTTCTAGCTCAGCCTGCAGGACTTGTCTCTGGTGCTTTTCTTCCTCCAGCTCCAGTTTCAGTAGGGCATGCTCTTTCTCCTGCTGTGGGTCCTGCTGAAGGATGACTTTCTGCTTCACAGTGACTCTCTCTGTCGTCTCTTTCTCCTGTTGCTCCAGCTCGCTCAGTCTGATCCTCAGCCGCTGCACTTCCAACTCTGCCTCCCGGCGGGCCTTCCTTTCTTTCTCCAGCTCATCCAGCTGGCGCTCCAGCTCCGACCTCCTCCGCTGCAGCTTGCGCATCTCATTCCGAAGTGAATCGATCTGCTGCAGCTCATTCTCTATGCTCTGTGAGAATGAGTTGACCTCAGCTTTCAAGGCAGGATCTTGTTCAAGCTTCACCACTTCCTGCTGCACCACCTTCTCCTTCACCTGGGAGAGCTCCTCCTCCTTCTGCCTGATCGCCTCCTCCTGCCGCTGCCTCTCTCTCTCCAGGTCCATGTGCTTCTTTTGCTCTTCGGCCAGCTGAGCTCTCAGGGTCGCTACTTCTTCCCTCGTCTGGGGGTCTTCCCGGTACTGCAGCACCTCCTGCACTACTTCTTTGGTCTGGACCTGAGGCCTGGCATCCTTCAGCACCTGAATTTCTTGCTTCAGCTGATAGATCTCCAGGTCCGCTCTCTCAATTGCTCTGGTCCTGTCCACAATCTCATCCCTGAGAAGCTGCAGCTCCATCTCGGTGTCTGGATCAGTCTTGTACTTAATAACTTCCTTGATGACCTCTTGCACTTCCACCTGTGGTCCCCTGTTTCTCAGAGCAGCCAGCTCATTCTGGCAGCTCTTCAGTTGCTCTTCTCCACCCTGGTATCTCCTCTCCTGCTCCACCAGCTGAAGACGAAGATTGGCCACTTCATTTTCAGCCTGGGGGTCTGGACGAACAATCTCCCGGACTTTCTCCTGGACAATCACTTTGGCATTCTCCTCTTCCAGAGCCTGGATCTTCCTAAGCAGGTCAGCTTTCTCCCTCTCATTAGAGCGCCCTTTGGCCTTCTCCTCTTCATACTGACGCCGCAGCTCGTTCACTTCCCTCTCCGCCGCTAGGTCCTTTTCCACTTTCAGCACCTCCTTAACAGTGATCTTGCCCTCTGCCATAGCCCGCTCTTTCTCCAGGCGCTTCAGTTTAGCTTGCAAGAAGGAGAGCTCTTCTTCTTGCTGCTGCCTCAGGGCAGTTTCCTGCTGCTTGTTCTCCTGCAGCTGCTGATATTCCATCTCCAGCATGGGATCGTTCTGCAGCTTCAGAACTTCCTTTTCAGTCACTTTCTCCTGTTCCTTATTTTTCTCCCCAGAAAGAGCAGCAATCTGCTGGCGCAAGAGGACCATCTCGCTCTCCCGGGCTCCTTCTTGCCTCTTAAGTCCCTCCAGTTCTTCTTTCAGCTTCAGAATTTCCTCTGCCTGAGCTTTATCTGGCTCAATCCGCAGGACCTCCTTGACCATGTATTCCTGTCCCCCTTCTCTCCTCTCACGCTCCAGGGCTCGCAACTTAAGCTTCAAAGCCTCCAGTTCTTCCTGTAGCATCTGGTTCTTGCGCTGTTCCTCAGCCAAATTCTGCTGCACCTTGTGGAAGCTTTCATCTAGCTGCGGGTCAGGCACTCTCTTCACAAGTTCCTTCTTGACCACCGTCTCCTGTGGCTTCTGGTTCTGCAGGAGAAGAATATTCTCCTGGATGACCTTGATCTCTGCCTCTAGCTGTTGCCTGCACTGGCTTTCATCATCCAGCTCCTTCTTTAACTTCCAGATTTCCTCCAGCGGCTTCTCAGACTTGCTGGTCTGGATGGACTCCTGCATCACATGGATATCTGGCTGCTGTGAACAAAGGGTAAACGAAGAGTCAGTTGGAGCTTTTACCCAAGTTGCTGTAACTACAGTGTAATTTACACAGACTAGTTCCTAGCACTAGGCATGTTTGCTCAGAAGAAAGTTGAGCTACTTTAGGGCTCTTCCCTCCCC